AGGATTTGGTAGTGTGACATCTCATGCCAAGTGAGTCCAGGCTCATGGTGGTTAGTCCAGAAATGGCACTTTCTAAAAACAATTGATTTCTTTTTTCTTTTACACACAGAAATGGGGAGGGCCTTAGTCCCAGCATTAAATGGCCATAGCTGCCATATCTGGCAGGTGAAATTACTAAGCAGGGAGGGGGTGTCCCTGATGCCCTCAAACACTTGCCTCACTGAGCTTCCTACAACATATTTTGAAGTTCACCAGCGAAGTGTGTGTGCTGAGACCAATAATGCTACGTGCTGAGACTTGTTGGATTGAAGGCTTAGTAGCGTGGTCAGGCATGGCAACGACCCAGCTTCCCGCTTCACCAGAGGCGTTTATGTGCTAGGTCGCTCATAACTTGGTGCCCTCTCTCCTTCTCTCCCTATTAACAGAAAGCTGTTCGCTTTTAGTGCCTCCTATGTTCTACGGGCAGACTAATCTTCCTGTCTTCCCCCACCCATGATAACTCCCTTTGCTTGTTGCATCAAATTTAGAATTCCTAGTTGAATTCAAAGCTTCAAATGAGCTCCAGTCTTTCTCTTTTTATTTTATTTTTTAAGCCTCTTCTCAGGATATGCCTGTTGATTTTAGAGAGAAGGCGGGGAGGGAAGGAGGAATGGAGAGAGGGAGGGAAGACCAGAACATCAATAAGTTGCCTTCGGTATGTGCCCCAACTGGAAAAGGAATCTATGGCCTTTTGGTATATGGGACACTGCTCTAACCAACCAGCCAGGCCAACCTTTCTCCTTTTAAATATGTGCTTTTGTTGTTATTTTTTAATTTATTTTAGAGAGAGGAAGGGAGATGAATGATTGGCTGCCTCCTGCACGTCCCCTACTAGGGATTGAGCCTGCAACCCAGGCATGTTCCTTGACCGAGAATCGAACCATGATTTCCTGGCTCATGGGTTGACGTTCAACCACTGAGCCACAATGGTCTGGCCAATCTTTCTCCTTTTAAACCCAAGCCAAAGAATACACATTAGTCATGTTGATGTCTTCAAGACCTAACCTTACCACCCTCAGTGAACATCTCTCTCCAGCCCAAGAGGAATAACCTAAATGCACCCAATCCCGCCAGATAATCACTGCAAAATATTCCTGCTTCAATATTTAATGACCTTCTGCCTGTATTCATTTCTAACAAGGGTGTTCTTTAATTGTCTCATGCTTCTATGCCCTCTCAGAGTGCTCTAGGATCAGGGACCTTGTCTGTAATTCTTGTGGGTCAAGTCGAGGGCTGGATACGTACCTGTGCTGTGGTAGAAAGCAGTAGATTTAGAGTCAAACTGATCTGGCTCTGAGTGGCACTGCTCTCACTTACTGTTTTATGACCTTGGGAAGGCTACCTGAGCTTTCTGAGCCTTATTCTTATTTGTAGGCTTCTGCCTTGGTTCCTCCTGTGCCAAGAGGGTGGTGACATGAAAGAAGCAATGTCTGAGTAGATGTCCCATTGGGAACTTTTGGACAAGCAACTGTAGTGGCCCCATGGGTTACTATTTTCTACCTCCTGAATTTAAAAACTGTTTGCTAGAATTGGAACTAGGAGGAGAGGGGGGGGAAATTCTGGCAGAAATGAGCTTGGGAAGGGATGTTGTTCTGGAGAAATGAGCCTGAAACTTAGAGAAAAATGATCCATTCTGTAGAAAATTCTAATACACCAGTGTGCTCTTGGCTCTAGATCTGGTTTTTCTAATGAATCATATCTAACAGACAGATAGTCCTAAGGTGTTCAGTGATGGTATTTAGCCTTCAAAAGTAATCTCATTAAAAAAAAAAAAATAGTGAGCTATACCCGAAAGTACATTTGCTATTTGGATAGTTAACTGCACTCCTAAGTTTTTTCAGTAACCAGATTGTGTGAGTCACGATTGGAATCCTCACCCCCATCCTCTCTTCTTTGTGTGCTTGGGAACCCGAGACACCAGAGTTGGATTTGATAAGTGAGATTCACATCTCAAGTCTTTGTTAGGAATTTTAGAGTCAGGTAGCTCTAGTTCAAATCCCAGCTCTCCTTGAGTGCAGAAAACTTCACTCTAGGCAAGTTACTATACCTCTCTGAGCCTGATTTATCAACCAGGAGAGACATAATTTTTGTTACAGCTCAAGCTTAGTGCCTGTTTCCTAGTGGGCAATCAATGACTTTTGGTTTCCTCTCCCAAGAGTGCCAAACTTGCATTCCAGGCACTGTTTATTTAGCTCGTCTGTCTTATTACAATATTTTAAGTGTCTGGGAATTGTAATGCATAAGGAATACATGAGATATTTTTAAACACAGTGTCTTATACTCAGAATTATCACAAAGCTAGTCGAAAAGAAAAATAATATCCAAATTGCTCACATTTTTTTGAAGATTAAAGCCTTCATTTTAGAGATATTGGATTTAATGTGGCCATTTCAGAAGGACAAACAGTTTGTAACCTGAGAGTATATCACAGCTGAGTGGCCAGAGGTCCAACTCCTTTGTAAAATAAATTTTGAAGCACATGGATGGAAAAGGATGTTATATTAGCTAGCACATTTGCTATAATCATAAAAACCAAAATATGGCTTTCTTCCATTTTGTTAGTACTTATAAAAACAATTTATGAATATATGTCCCTTTTCAAGATAGAGAAACTACAATTTTAATTTCTCTATCTTGAAAAAATACACACCCATAATTGTTACAATCCCAAGTTACTCACATTTAGCAAGTCATTTGGTTTTAGGGCAGCATAGATATTTAAGTTAGCATAAGTGTAAGAGACAAGATTCTCAGTAATTTCCAGATTAAAGTAACTTTTCACCTACTTCTCAGTCATGTATTTATTTCTAAATCCCAGCTGTATGCTACTTACACATCTGTCAGTATCTGAGGTAGCATGTCTGCCAGTGCAGGAAGGGAGCAAAGCTTTCTGTAATAAATGGCATCATCTGTTGTGGGGAAGTCATTGCCAATGCACGTACTCACTCATGCACCTCACTCACACAACTCATGCACTCACACATACAACTTGCTTGTGCAACTCATGCATTTCTCACACCTCATTCATTCACACAATTCACACATCTCATTCACTCACACAACTTACACACCTCATGCAACTCACTCCCTCTGTAGTAGCTAGTACTATGGGTTGCAGCTGACAGATCCTTATCTGAAATTAGGGAAACCCATTGCAAGGGACATCTCTCAGAATAGTTGTGCCCCTGAATGAGTTCGGAGCAGTTGGGCTTCAGGAACAACCAAAACCATTGACTGGAGTGCACTTCTGTGCACTTCTGATTCGCCCCTCTCCTTTTCTTGTAGACTGGCCACTTCATCCTTTGGGTCCATGTGGCAAAGGGTCCCTAGACTTGGTGGCTCATTTAAGAATTATACAGATGAAGGGGCTGAGGAGAGGAGCAGGGAAAGGGAGTGCTGTGTAGAGTTCCAGAGATGCCCACACACCCATCCTGCCATCCCAGGCAGTGGGACCTTAGCTGGGAATACACACACACACACACACACTCCTGAACTGAGAGATTGCTTGCAGCCAAGTGATTAGAGACAGATGTGCAATTAAATAAGTGAAATAGAGTGATGTTGGCTTTGTAATAATGCATGCAAATGATGAGTGTGAAGAATAGTGTCATAATGGAAGTAAAGAATCAGTGATCAGTTAGATCTGACACACCCAGCTTCTGCTAACAGTCATGGCTACATAGCTGGGCACATGGCAGGCTTCCTGAAAATACTTGAGCCAATCGAATTAGGTATTCTGGAGACTAGGGCTAGCCTTGGCATTTTCTGAGTCTAAGCATCGTGTGCTTTTTCATTAAGCGGCCTCTTCATCAGAATACCTTTTTGAATTATTCATTGAGTTCTTTTACAAGGGAAGAATTAAGGACATCATCAGGATTTTTTCATTTCAGCTACTTGTGTTGTGTTTTAGAGAATTCAAATGACCTGAATATTAGTTTCCTTTGATAGCTCTCTAGGCTGGTATTAAAAGACCTCCGATGAGACTTGTTATACAGTTCAGCTGGCCCGGCACCGCACTGCTTGTTAGTCACAAATCCCTGGCTTGTAAGATGAAGACATACTCTAGTTCCTTGTCAGGGGTCCCGCGAGCCTTTGCCATTGTCCCTGTCGGTTGCTGTTCTAGTGACCCGCACTCCGTCCACAAATGGTCTCAGGGTTAGCATGCTCCAGTTTGCTCTTTTGCAGGCAGAGCATCCTGGTCCCTTTTCCATCTTCTGTTATTCTGAGTCGACTTTCTGTCGTATTCCACAGATCTGCACCCTGGAAGCTTGGGTGCCTCAGGATGAGCACAGTCTGCTTCAGTCTCACCATCTTGGCTTTGTTTCTCACACCCATATTTTACCAAGGCTTTTGCTGTCCTTCATCTGCTCTCTCTACCTTTGCTTGCCTTTACCTTCGGTTTTAGTTAATCTTCTTTTTTGGAGATCATTGTCATTTCACATGCAGCTATAAGTATTCATACGCTCTAGCACAGTGCTAACAGCATCTTGCAGTACTGTTGTATGGAATCATATTGTACAGCTATTGACATTGACAGTCCAAATACAGAGCACTTGCCATAACATTTTGATTTTGACGTTTCTTCTCGTTATTCTTTTCTTTACTCACCTCTTAGATTCTTCTCCCTCTTCTCAGTAATATGTTCATAGTCCCGGGGATTTAACTGAGTCCAGAATCCTAAAAATTTATCTTCTCTTTGATATAGGTTGGCTAACTTCTCATGTTGTCAGAGTTCCTAGGGATAGCGACTCCCGTGTTTTTCTTTAAGTCACTTCCCTAGAATAAATATAATTTAAGGCTCAAGGTGGCCTTCACATGCATGTGAGAACCTGATCTGCTGTGGGTTCCGCTCGCCTTAATTTCAGGCCAGTCACATCAGGGTGAAGAATGTGTGGGGGCTGGTCCGGCACTAAGTCTTTGAGACCTAAGAGCCCTGATCAAAGGCACTTTCCCCCCCAAAGGACAGTTCTGCACGGAGGACGTGGACGAGTGCCTGCTGCAGCCCAACGCCTGTCAGAACGGAGGCACCTGCACCAACCGCAACGGAGGCTACGGCTGCGTGTGCGTCAACGGCTGGAGCGGGGACGACTGCAGTGAGAACATCGATGACTGCGCCTTCGCCTCCTGCACGCCAGGCTCCACCTGCATTGACCGCGTGGCCTCCTTCTCGTGCATGTGCCCGGAGGGAAAGACAGGTGAGGCCGGCAGGACGACAGAGCCGGACACCAGGGACGGGGCCGTGAGCAGGCAGGATCTCTGCCTTCTTCCCTTTCGTGTCAGTAGCTGTGTCCTTTCCGTTACCCATCGGTAGGTACATGTCACTTAAGATTGTTCTGGAAGTGTCCTCGGTAGCCAAAGTGCTAGGAGTGAGTCTTTTTCCTGGTCGCTTTTGACTCTCCCCTCAACTCTATGTACCACAGTCTTTCATCCTCAAAAAATGGAAGTTAATCACTATTGCCTGGGGAGCATCTGCTGACCTCCTTATGACCTTAGACCAGTGGTCGGCAAACTGCGGCTCTTTGGCCCCGTAAGTGTGGCTCTTCCACCAAATACCACGGTCTGGGCTATTTTGAAGAAGTGGAGTTGGAAAAAGTTTAAGTTTAAAAAATGTGGCTCTCAAAAGAAATTTCAATCGTTGTACTGTTGATATTTGGCTCTGTGGACGGCCACTGACTGCCTTAGGCTAAAAAGCACCTCAGAAATTAAGACAAAAATGACTAATGGATGTAGAGACTTCATATTAAGAAGAAATAGCACATTTACTTAGAAGGAGTTGGCAGGTTGTAAGTGCATTCCAGTTCCCAGCGTCTATAGAAATATTGCTCTCAAGGTGGGTTTTTGCTGATTTCAAAGCGAGCTCCTCAGTTTCACAGCTCCTGCTTTTAGGTGTAGAAGCAATGAAGGGAGGAAGTTGTGGAGAAAGATAGCTCAGGTGAGGGAACTTGGGGCCCAGTAGTTCTGAAATGTTCTCATATCTGTGCCTTCCTAGGAGCCCCACCTCCAGCTCTGCAGAAAGAGCCTTCGCTACCTGTTCTTAACCTAGTTGCAGAGTGGAAAATCCAGTTCCCGCGGGAGCCATGCCGAACATGGGGCCAGCTAATATCGCCTCAAGGCCTGAGGGCACTTGGGCCAGGAATGCTGACTCTATTAAAAGGCTGCCGGAGCATAGGCTGATGCTGCTGCACTGGTTTTTTCCTTCTGAGGCTAGTGAAATGCTGATGCCTCCGTGATCACCGGGTGGCATGATTTGCAGAAAGTAGGTTAGCAAATAAAATACAGGTGCATGCAGCAGTTTGGGCCTACAGTAGAGATTACTTACTGTCTATCTGAAATTACTGGTGAGCTGGGCATCCTCTGTTTTTGCTGCTCAGTCAGGGGGCAGTAGGGAAGGTTATTGCCCTCTGCTTGTCTCTGTCGTCTGTCCATCTCCCCTATGGCCCTTGAGGAGCCGTCTAGCTGAATGGAAGAGAGAGAGGGAGGACACCAGGGTTGTCTGCAGAAGCTCCTGACTTGCAGTGTGTTTCTGAGGGAGGATCAGGCGAAAGGAAAGTTTCCTCAGTCTCCATAGTGGATTTTGATGAGACAGTATAAGGCTTTCCTCCTCCATGGAAGAGACAGCTCTTTCCCAACTGGGGTCATTTTCTCTTTGTTCTTGTGACAGGACTCCTGTGTCATCTGGACGATGCATGCATCAGCAATCCGTGCCACAAGGGGGCACTGTGTGACACCAACCCCCTGAACGGGCAGTATATCTGCACCTGCCCACAAGGCTACAAAGGGGCTGACTGCACAGAAGACGTGGATGAGTGCACCATGGGTGAGTCCCCCGGACCTCTCCTCTTCCTCCCGGGTCTGCAAGCTCAGCAAGCATTTACACCAGCTCTCCTCCTGTTACTGCCCACCGTTTACAACCATCCTTTCAACGTAATCATATCTTCTGGGGATTGAAATATACCGGTGGTCTGTACTTGATTCTTAGTATAAAGCCCCACCTGAGAGGCAGTCTGGGCAAAAGAGCAGCAGAGACCCCCGAGAATGAGGTTGCCTCGTCTAATTAATTAATTTGTTCACAAGAACATAGGAGACTGAGAATCAGACTATGAAATGCCTCGCCCTAACGCTTGCAGACCACGTCCGTAGTCCACGCGTGTGGAAACTCGGTCGTGCTGTGCTCCTGGTAACTGGTGCTTGTGTCTTTCAGCCAATAGCAATCCCTGTGAGCACGCAGGGAAATGTGTGAACACGGACGGCGCCTTCCACTGCGAGTGTCTGAAGGGCTACGCGGGGCCTCGCTGTGAGATGGACATCAACGAGTGCCATTCCGACCCCTGCCAGAACGATGCCACCTGCCTGGATAAGATTGGGGGCTTCACATGCCTGTGCATGCCAGGTACTGGGACCCATCCGAGGGTGGGGTCTAGGCTGGAGGCACGGAACAGTGCTCCTCTGAGGTGGAGCACTCAGCACCGGGTGACCATTCTGTGAGACCCATCAGCCTCTCCTTCCCAGTAGTGACGGGGCTCCCGGCCATCGGGCCCTTAGAGTGAGGCCATGCTAGACTTCTTAGAGCTGTGAAGGCCCAGGTAAACACACCCGTCCTGTCAAAACTCAGATATGCGCAAGAAAAAATTTCAGAAAGCAGTGTTTTTATGCCAAGATTCTTTAATAAAGTACTTACCATAAGTATCCTTTAAGTGGCAAGCCTTCCCAATTCCCTTATGCATTACAGATACCGTGCCTTTCCACTTAGAGAAATTTACTTCATAATCATGTAGGAACCTGCCATGCCTCCCTGGCGATGTCCCATGATTCATGGGTTGTCCCCTGAATCTGCAGGGACCGTTTCTGAGTGGGCAGAGAGCACAGCCAGTGCAGCTCACAGCGGAGGCTGCAGTGCGGCCGCCCCATCACGGTGCTGGCACTCTAGCCTGGGCGCCTCCTGGCCTTGCCTGGCGCCCTGAGGGCAGCGGCAGCTCTGACTCCACTGGTCTTTAGGAACAAGCAGTGGGCATTTCTCGGACCTGGCACTGCCCTGAAAGCAAAGCCTGGACTGGTCAGAGAATGTGGCCCAGTCTTTGCGGACACACGAGGTGTGACCAGCGTCTTGGAGGTACCCTCATCCCCTTCATCACAGTGACCCAGATGTCCCAGAGGACTCCCCTGTGTGATCTGTCACTGTCATGGCATAGTCCCCCAGTCCTCTGCAGAAATGTCTGCTCCTAAAGGATGTGGGCATCTTCGTAAGTGTGTGCTTTCTTGGCTAGAACATGCCTTTCTCTCTTTCTAAGCCACTTGTGTGCTCCGTTCTGTCCAGGTTTCAAAGGTGTGCATTGTGAGCTGGAGATAAACGAATGTCAGAGCAACCCCTGTGTGAACAACGGGCAGTGTGTGGATAAAGTCAATCGCTTCCAGTGCCTGTGTCCACCTGGTAAGTGCCCACCCCGTGCCCTGCTGTCTGCGAAAGCACAGAGCCGACTGGCCCCGGGGAGGGAGGGAAGGAGGAGCAGAGAGCAGGCCGAGAACGTGTGTGGGCTGTGCATGCGGAAGTCATTAAAGTGAGCACTTCAGGAAGGAGACGTGTGTACAGAGTCGGGGAGTCTGTCTCCGCAAGTAGTGTCCTCCAAATCCTCTGTGGACACAAGTCCAAGTCTGTTCTGAAAGGCCCGTGACCTCTCTGTCTGTGTGTACATTTCCGAAAGTTCATGCCTCACAGAGGCCTTAGGTTCAGGCTCTTCGGGATTGAATTCCCCCCACTCCTCCCCATGGGTTAGAGTCTCGAAGCCCGTTGGCGAGATGATTATTTTTAGACATTTCACCTCCGGGCCCAGAAACAGCCAACATCAGTCAATTTTTCCAAAGAATGCTCCGCCTTTTCTTCCCCTCCCCGGAGCTATTGTTGGAAGACACGCCAGGCTCTCTGCCACACACTGTGGTGTCTCTCATTTTCAGTCCCAGTCCCTCTGAGGCCAAAGCTCACTGGTTGGCGTGCTTCTCCCTGTCACCATGCAGTCCTGTTTTAACTAGAAGTGAAAAGTGTGGGGAGGAAACAGGGCTGGAGATACACACTGGTGCCTCTGGTGCCCTGCGCTTCTCCCAGTTGTCCCAGTCACTTGCTGGGGGAAATTCATTTCCCTTTTTTTTTTTTTTTTTAATATATTTTATTGATCTTATACAGAGAGGAAGGGAGAGAGATAGAGAGTTAGAAACATCGATGAGAGAGAGTCATCGATCAGCTGCCTCTTGCACACCCCCTACTGGGGATATGCCCGCAACCAAGGTACATGCCCTTGACCGGAATCGAACCCGGGTCCCTTCAGTCCCCAAGCCGACGCTCTAGCCATTGAGCCAAACTGGTCTCGGCTCATTTCCCTTTTGCTGACCCTTCTCTAAGGGAATGAGTCCCACGCTTCTCCGACATCACCGTCACAGGGAAGGCGGGTGAGGGACCTATATCCTCCTGTGGCCTTTTCAGGTTTCACCGGGCCGGTCTGCCAGATTGATATTGACGACTGTTCCAGCACTCCGTGTCTGAACGGGGCCAAGTGCATCGATCACCCCAACGGCTATGAATGCCAGTGCGCCACAGGTGAGATTCTTCCCGGTTTTCAGCCCTCCCCCCCAGGCCCACCTGAACAAACTGGAGACTGTCCTTGTCCCGCTGGCCTACCAGCGCCGGCCACTGGAGGGCCGGTTCTGCGTGTAGAGAGGTCTCCCAGCTTGGTTTTCGCCGCTCTCTCTCCACTGTTTTCCTTCTCCAACACCTGCCTCCGCCTCCGCCTCCGCCTCCACCACAATAGTGGCCTGGCCTGGACATTGCCATTTGGTGTCCGTCTCTTTTTGGGACAGATTTTGGCAGCGGTGAGTTTCCAGCTGGCTGGCCTTCCTCCTCTGGGAAAGGGAAGCATTCCAGCTGAAGGCTCTTTTTCACTGGGGCTCCTCAGCGGGAGGCTTGTTGCTGTGCTTCTTGAGGGAAGCGATTAAACAAAGGCCGAGGAATCAGGGCCGTTGTGTGCAAGTGCAGAGGCTTATCGCAGACCGCATGCCCTGGGAGTCGGGTGGTCCTCAGACAGGTGCGAGAGCTCCGAGTCCTCCCTCCTGAATTCTGCCACTACCGTGAAAAAGAACCCGTTTATAAATATTTTGCGTGTCTGGTCTCCGACCACAGTTCCCATTTGGGAGGGATCTGACTAAGCCAAACCTCCCCCATTCCACATGTGCTTCTGCCCAGACCAACAGTGTGGAAATGGACTAGATGTTATTAGAGAAGGGGATTTTTCCAATTTCTTCTTTATCCCACGGCTTAAGAGAGAAAGAAGTTAGGAATAGATTTAAAGATAATTTCTTAATTTTAGGAAATGGGTCCTTAAACAGTTTTAAGCATTATGTGCATTTCTTTCTGATCAGAGAAAAACAATGACATGGAAATAAATGATCACTGTTTCTGTAGTATTGGAGCATCACCCTTGACGAGGCCTACTTAGACAAGGCCCTGTCAGAGGACCCCGTACCCCCTTCTGTCTTCATGAACTGTTGTCTGTGGTTCGAGGAGTTCCGGGTTCTGTCCTCCTCTGGCAGGTTATGTTCATGGAGAGTAACCTTCGGGGGAGAGAGGTGAGACGTCTGAGTCATGCTGAGAAGGGAGGAGAGCCTTCCTGGAGTCTCCGAAAAGAGATTTAATGTCAAGTGAAGTTTTCATTTGTCCTGGTTTCATTTAAATCCCGTAACTTGTTCGTTCATTTTATTCAACAAGTCTTTATAGGAAACTTACTATATAGGCATAGTACCCTGGGGACAGTTGAAAGAAAAAAAGAGAAGTTTTTTGTTCTGTAAAGTCAAAATTGGGAGCCCAGCCAATGTGGCTCAGTGGTTGAGCATCGACCCATGAACCAGGAGGTCACAGTTTAATTCCCCTACAAGCCACATGCCCGGGTTGCAGGTTCAGTCCCCACTACGGGGTGTGCAGTAGATAGCTAATCGATGCATCTCTCTCTCATCGATGCTTCTATCTCTATATCCCTCTCCCTTACTCAAAAAAATAAAAATAAAAATGGGGAAGATAAGGTCCGTGGAACCATGAATATAGCCCCTATATGTTGGATTTGGGAGGAAAGGAATATAGAGGTAAATATACACAGGAAAGGTATTGAGAGCTATTCCCCACTGACACCCAGTACGGAATGAGGATGCAGTTGAAGAGGTATTTGAATTCTGCAGATATGATCTGAAGAACTTTGTTTGAAGCACAGCTCTCTGAGCCTGCCTTATAAATCAACGCCAATGGTCAGTGTCGAGCGCTCCTTCCTGAAGGGTGAATTCAAGCATGGGAGCTACAGGGGACGGGGATGTGGCTCCATGTGTGTCCAAGTGTGGAGTATCTGCCTTGGTTCTTAAGCCTCCTTGGTCCCGTTCCTTCCCAGGATTCACTGGTGTGTTGTGTGAGGAGAACATCGACAACTGTGACCCCGACCCCTGCCACCACGGCCAGTGTCAGGATGGGATCGATTCCTACACCTGCATCTGCAACCCGGGGTACATGGGCGCCATCTGCAGCGACCAGATCGACGAGTGTTACAGCAGCCCCTGCCTGAACGAGGGCCGCTGCATCGACCTGGTGAACGGCTACCAGTGCAACTGCCAGCCCGGCACGTCGGGTAAGCCCACTCCCTCCCTGTTTCCTTTGGAGCTGTTCACGTGAAAAAGCGTGCAAACCTGTAAAGCCTGCTCTGTGAGTCTTTTTGAGTCACACGGTCAACGATCGCCAGGATGCAGAATCCCAACGGATTGGGACCCTGCTCGGAGAATGGCAGTTTTTCACCTTGATTTATACATTACAATCCAAGGAGGAGACGTATTTGGGTTACGTGAAAGCTATTGGTAATAGATTGGGAGGCGGGAGAAAGCAAAGAGAGGGGAGCTCTGGGATTGGATAAAAAGTAAAATGATAGACACACACTTCTTTTACCGGTTACTTAGGTGGGGGCAGGATAGTTAGTCAACAATTAACTTGGTAACAATGAGGGGATTTGTAGTCTCTGCAGAGCGGTATCTGTGGCTTTAAGAGATCTGGAAAAAGAAAAATTGCTTTGACATTCCAATGATATGTTGTCGTAATGCAAAAAGGTAATAGGCTCAGTTAAGGTAAAGGTTGACCTTGTCAGGGAAGCTCCCGGCCTAGGTGTGACTACCCACCATCACTGCTTTTAGTTAAAGTTTTCATTTCAGACCCTCCTTTGTGGTTCCTTTAGGTTTTTGAGTTTGCAAGACCGCCATGCAGGCCTCCCCCGAGCCTGCCAGGTCAGCAGGTGGCCCCTTTTTCACCCACAGAGTGCTCACTGCTTCTCACACACGATTTACACAGATGTCTCAGACTTCCTGGGCGGACGCTCACATACCTAACTCCCGGTCCTTTTTCCCCCGAGAAGCTCAGCCAAAGCCACAGCCAGAAACATCTCTGAGGGAGCTGGCTCCAGCCAGGGGAGAAATGAGAGACAATGGTTTCTCAAAGCTGGTGATTTTATGCATGTGTTTCCCTAAAAGAGGCAGACCGCTTCAAAAACCTGCAGTTATTCTCTAAGATGAAAACCCTTCTTGCTTTTGTGGCTTGATGGTATTGTTGTCTTTTTCTATAACCTCCACTGCAGGCTAATAAAGTTGTGCTTCCCCCTTACCCCGTCCCCCCCAACCCTCTTTCTCCATCCCTACCCCTCCAGTCTTTCTAATCTTTTTCTCTCTATTTCAGAGTCCAGTATCTTTATTTTTTTTAAATATATTTTATTGATTTTTTTTTACAGAGAGGAAGGGAGAAGGATAGAGAGCCAGACTCATCAATGAGAGAGAAACATCAACCAGCTGCCTCTTGCACACCCCCTACTGGGGATGTGCCCACAACCAATGTACATGCCCTCGACCGGAATCGAACCTGGGACCTTTTAGTCCGCAGGCCAACGCTCTATCCACTGAGCCAAACCGGTTTTGGCAGAGTCCAGTATCTTTAATGGGAAACTTTTCTCCTGCCAATTGTCTCGGGTGGGCTTTGGGCAGTTGTGGGGCCTGGGCGGGGGAGGAGCGCATTGCAGCTCCCCATCATTGGAAATTAGAATGCGGAGCCACCATTTCTCATCCGGGCTCCTCGCTTCCTGACTCCAGTTCATTCTCGCTGGCTGGGAGGGCAGGCTGCTCCTTGCTGGGGGTGTTGGATTACTTGCTCGGGCAGCAGCATTTCACAGGTTTCGCTGGGAGGCATCATCATGGTCACCGCTGTGGTTAATGGACAGAGAAGCACTGTGTCTCAGATCAAAGGGAAACGGACCAGTGGAAGATTAACTAGCGGGTGCCCTCGTCAGAGCGGGACCTGCCAGCACAGCGCGCTGATTTATCGAGAACTCCCTCTCCCTTTAAGGACAATGGCCTAGGTGGGGGCAAAGGTGGGGAGGTGGGGAGCTGCCCTCATTTTACTTTGTTCTCTCCAAACACATTCCTTCAAACTTGTCAAGGGCCCTGGGCTTCTTCCAGGACCCCGCACATGCCAAGTTTGAAAACAAAGTCCTTTTTGAGTTGCTCAGCATATGAAAAACATCCCCTGCCTCACAGTGGAAAATGCCTTCCCCCTCCCCACGTTTAGATAACTCCCCGGCAGGACTGAATGGATCTTTGTGAAACCCTCCAAAAGCAATTTGCTTCCGGGCCGGTCCCCAGACGTGAGCCATTGCAGTCGGAAAAGGAATTTGAGAGAGATTTACAAGCTACTGAATGGATGCCTGTAGGACAGCAGGGATGTGCTAGGCCGTGGGTCCCAGTGTAGCAAGCGCACTGGAAACCCCTGGAAACCTGGGGCGTGGTGGGTGGCAGCACTCGGTTTTCTCTGGGATGGTCATCCCTGTGGCAGGATGGATCAGATGTGTTACCTGAGGGGACAGCGAAGGCAAGGTGTGAGGCGCTGTCACTGAGAAAGGCAGGAAGTAAGCTGTGAGGGGTGCACAGGCAGCAGAGAGGGGGAAGGCCCAGAATCTCTCAGAAAGCTGCCAGCCTCGTTCCTATGGCGTCAGGAGAATAAAAGCAGAGACACCCAGGCAACATGAAGGCATCTTGTAGTGGGTAGAGAAAGGCCCGGCCTGCAGGGCCCTGGGGAAAGGACCCATTCAAACAGTCGTTATGAATGGACTCTGGAGCTCTAGAGTAAGAATCCACGGCCCATGCAGAATGCGGTCCTTGGTGGCGGGCTGGGGTCTGGATGATGTGTAGATGGGGGTGGGGGGTGCGGGGGGAAGACACTTTACAACTTGCTGGTGGTCCTGTGGTTTCTCACTCACTGGGCACTGAAAGTGGGTGCACGACCTGGAATCGCTTCTTTCACTTGTGCTCTTATGATGGGACACTGTTGTTGTTTTTTAAATATATTTTTATTAATTTCAGAGAGGAAGGGAGAGGGAGAAGGAAAAATATCAGTAATGAAAGAGACTCATTGATTGGCTGCCTCCTGGGATCGAGCCCGCAGATAGGGCATGTGCCCTTGACCGGAATCCAACCTGGGACCCTTCAGTTCATAGGCTGACGCTCTATCCATTGAGCCAAACCAGCAAGGGTGGTGGGAACACTATTCTAAGTAAGTTACTTTTGGCTTGAAGTCACAGAATCCAATCTGACTAGCTTAAAGAATTATTAACAAACAAGCCAAAAACAGTAAAACAGCAGAAAGAATTTAGTGAAAGCAAAAAAAAAAAAAAAAAAAAAAAAAAAAGGCATCTCAGGGGTGTCAGGGGAGTTTGGAACAATAGGCTTTGCAGAGATTAGCCAGAAGCAGGGCCCTCTGCAGACCGTAGCTCACACGGTCATACTCCTGCATTCCGGTGCAACAGTTTCACCGACCCAGCGTGGGCGGGTATCTCTCGCTGCTCAAGTAAATTTTTGGTGTAATTATTGTTAATATGTATTAATGCAAAGTGAATCAAAATGATGGCATTTTGTCATGGAAGTTTCATTTCTTAGTTTATCATCCCTACTAACAGGTTTTGCTTTTTAAACTACGAAGGTATTCTATGATGCCCAAAAAAAGCATCACTAAATTCACGTTAAATATATCATGAACTATCATAGGTGTTTTTACCAAATAGTGCTAACAATAATGATTGGTATATCTCTAATGTTTAGTTACCCATATCTTTAGTTAAAACTTTCCTAGCATAGCCAAAGTCTACAGTGTGTTCTGGGAATAGACCAGAAGGAAGGTAGCAGACTCCAAGAGGAAGTTAGCAGATTCTTTAAAGTTTATTCCTGAGTTGTAACCAGAATAGTGACTGTCAGTTTAAAGCTTTTCGTGGTTCCAAAATTCTGGATTTTCATGTGAAAGCTTAAATTTTATCTTGGGAACACAATACTATCAGCTTTGGTTTTTTGTTTTTGAAATGACAGGTTTTCTCTTTGCCATTAATATGAACTAAATAGTTAGGTGTGAATAACCCCAGTTTGTCTGTCAGTTGTGCTTTCGATGAAAATGGGATTCCATGAAAAAAAGCAACTGCCTCCATTCAAAACTGAAATAATCACACAACCGCTTTTCCTGGGAGGCACCTCTGCACATTGGCATGTCACAGAACGGCCTCGGGTATACTTCCCAGACTATCACACAGAACATAGACATAGATACAGTCAAGGGTGAAGATGTAACAAAAGGCTAAAGTTAATCATCCGACTTCACCAAAGTCATTCTTAAGTGAGCCTGTCTTTTTCTCCGATTTCTGCTTCGAGAGCACGGGTGTGATGGATACAGTGCCCACCCTCCAGTGTGGCATCGCCGCTCCGATTCCCACTGAGGCGCCCGCAGTCCCGCCGCCATGGCTTCTGCCCATGAGTGCAGATGCTAACGCGCTGAAAAAGGCGCCCAGTGGCTCAGTGCGTGAAGGAGATCGCCTTGCCCTCCTGATCCCGCCGGCAGCATTGTTGCTTTCCCCAGGGCTGGCTGGATACTCTAGCTTTCTTTTCTTTTCTTTTTTAATATATTTTATTGATTTTTTTTTAAGAGAGGAAGAGAGAGGGACAGAGAGCTAGAAACATAGATGAGAGAGAATCATCGATCAGCTGCCTCCTGCACACCTCCCACCGGGGATGTGCCCACAACCAAGGTACATGCCCTTGACCGGAATCGAACCTGGGACCCTTCAGTCCGCAGGCCGAGGCTCTATCCACTGAGCCAAACCGGTCTCGGCTACTCTAGCTTTCTTAACCAGTTAACTGCCACGCGTCCAGAACGTCGATAGACCCTTGTGGCGTACAAAGGGCTAACACTTGGGGTTCCAAGCAGACATCCTTGATGTTTTTGTGGTAATATTGCATGTTTCCTCTTTGCCCTGATCCTTGCAGGTGTTAATTGTGAAATCAATTTTGATGACTGTGCCAGTAACCCGTGTGTCCACGGCGTCTGCATGGATGGGGTTAATCGTTACAGTTGTGTCTGCTCGCCGGGATTCACAGGTAATGCCCCTTGGTGTTGGGAGGTCGCACTTTCAGCCCCATTGCTTTGGAAAAAGGCATCTACAGCAACATTAACTTTTTAAACGTTTCCTATGTGTTTTTCTCTGGGAAGTTTAGACTTTTGTTCCTGTGCTTCTCCGGCCCTGTTTTCTACTCACAGGCCTTCCCTAAGCTGTAACAGGAAACGTTTCATTCGTTAGGGGTTTTTAGATCCCGTGTTTATAGCCACCTATAAGAACTTTCGGTTACTCCCAGAATGTGTCACTCACTGTGCTTGAGTTAGATTTTTCTGTAATGGCATAGCCTGTGTAAAATTCTTTGAAAACACTAAATGCTCTTCTCTGAGTACTGTTCTAATGGGGGCTTGTTGGAGGAAGCCAGAGCCAACCTCATATGGCCAGCACAACTGAGATTTTTTTTTTCTCCCCAAGAGGAACAAAGTAAGTGCCTAAAATAAAGTTGGCTAGAGTCCTTCCTACATTATAAGCAGCTAGAGCATTACACATGTACACATGTGTGCACAATCATTTTCCCTTTTCTCGCATTTGTTCATCACATTACCTCTATCATTTACCCTCCTGTCCCAAAGTGCTAGAGGCTACTGAGGAATCCTGAGGCCCCCCCCATACACCCGAGGGCATGTGCTCTGCCTGTCCTGTCCTTCCCAGACAGTGCCATGCACAAGCAAATGGATGATGTAGCCATTTAATAAGTACCATGTGGTCATTTGCAACCAATGTGAGAATCTTCCCTCGGAGCTTTTCACCATGAGGTCAGAGGCAATCGGAGCCAAGCGCTTGCAGGGGATTCGCATTCCTCTGCATCCCACAATCCTTGTCTCCTGCTGTGCCTGAGTGGGTGCTGGGAGGAATGGTGGTGGCCCCAGGGTCACTGGAGCCTGTGTTCAGTGGGTGATGGCTCCGAGGACAGGTGTCATGGAAGCCCTCCTAGTTAGGGCCCCCGCACTGATGGTGGGAGCGGATATGCTTCTTGGTCCCAAAACTTGTTACCCCAAGACTAAGTGGCAGCCAACAGATACACAAAAACTTCTGCCAGATGGGATATTAGGTGCATTTTTGTTAAATGAGTAATAGGAAGGGAATGGTTGTCATTTATTAAAGACTTATTTTGAGCCAGGCATTAAACTGAGTGCCTAACCTCATGTAATTGTCACTGTTGTTATCATTCTGACAGCATTAATGAGAAACCCACAGCCTGCAGCTGGGACTCCACCCCAGGGGTCCCACTCCGGAGCCCGCTGTCGCCTAAATGGGTGCCGGTTGTGGTTTCTCTTTAGGTATATAAGCCTTGGACTGGATTTCTCCTTTTTCTTTTTTGGGGAATGTCAGTGAATCATAGTCTCTTTTTTTAACATTCAGCAAAGCAGGAAGGTCAAGGAGGGAGGACATAGGCTAAAAATATTCTAAAATAAACTTAAGGTGTAGCATGAGACTACATAAGCAAGAAATGGAATGTTTTGATTCCTGGGTGGTACCCTGTTCTTGGAACTCTGTTTGGGGTTTTTTGGTTTTTTTGTGTGTGTTTTTTTCGGGGGTGGGGTGAAAAGAAGGGGATTGAATCAGCTGCTGAAAATAGAATACATTATGGTTTCAAACTCAGAGCTATGAATGTGAGTTGCTTTATTCTTTCCTTTGTTTTATTTTAATGCTACTTTTTAAACATATTTAAGAGAGTTTTTTTAATTAAACTTATTGGGGTGACATTGGTTTCAAGTATACATTTCTATAACACATCACTGTGTACATTTCTATAACACATCACTGTGTATTCCATGGTGTGTTTACCACCCACAGTCATAGCTTCTTCTGTCATCATATCTTTGGCCCCATTTACCTCTGCCCATGCCCCTTTCCCTCTGGTAACCACCTTACTGTTTGTGTCTATGAGTTTTTGTTTATCTATTGCTTCCAGTTTTATATCCCACATAAATGTCTATCAATGTTTGAAGGATAAAGAAGATGTGATATATATATATATAATGGAATGTTACTCATCTGTGAGAAAGAAGGAAATCCTGCTACTTGTATGTGAAAATATGGATAAACCTTTAAGGCATTCTTCTAAGTGAGATAAGTCAGACAGAGAAAGACCAAGTACTGTGTTATATCACTTATATGCAGATTAAGAAAAGGAGTAGAATGGGGCTGGGAGAAGGGTAGGGGGAATTGGAAAGATGCTGTTTAAGGATACGAACTTGCAGCTAGTAGATGATGAGTTCTGGAGGTCTAATGCATGGCGTGGTGATTATAGCCAACAGCATAATTTATTATAAACATAAAGTTGGTAGGAGAATCAATCATAATTATTCTCACCATAAAAAAAGAAATTATATTTATGCGACATGATAGAGGTGTTAGCTAACCATATGGTATACTCATATTGCAATATATAAATGTATCAAACCTTAAACTTACACAATATTACATGTCAGTTATATCGCAACAAAAAAATTAACAAAATACAAAAGTAGCTAGGGAAGTTTTATCATCCCCATTTAACAAGTGAGGCAACTGAGAGAGAGAGCTCAAGTCCATTTTACCAGCTAAGGAATCTCACAGATAAGACCTTTCTAATCACCATTGTGACCAATGTCAAACAAATGGTTGGCACTGAAGAAACACTCAGTAAATGTTGCTGAATAAATGACTATCATTCAAATATGGGACCTCTGACATCCAACCCCAGATTCCCGAGTCCGAGCTATCCCATGATTTCATTCGTTAAACACAGGGTGAGAGACTTTGGTTAGCTTCTGGTCCAGTAGTCACTGAGCCCAGGAAGGTCCGTAGGTTTGTGCTAGGCATTTCTGAGGCTGAGGAGAAACTCCTGAAGGATAGGATCTGGCTGTCAGGTCATGTAGCAGACTGCACAAGGATGCACTCAGCTCTCAGCTAACAATGGCTTGACAATTGATTCTGGAAAGAGTTTTAAAAGCAAATGAAGAAAACTTGGAAGGAGTGGCCTCTGAGGAGATGCTTCCAAAAAAGGACAGAAAACGAAGGCTTTTCCTCTCGCCACCACGTTGCAGGCTCAGGATAGCTCACATCTTGATTCCATTGGCACACATCTAAAAAAACCAGAGGTTGAGGCGAAGGAAGTCGTATTTTAAAATAAGTTATTAATACAACACTTAAGAGGAAAGCAGCAACCGCCACCAGATTATGGGTCTTTACCACAGGAACCACCAATCATGGTTTAGAGAGCAATGGAGGGTGAAAAAATGTTAATACCCATACTTTAAAGGGGTGTGTATCTGTTTCATTTGGAATTTCCTGTTCTAAATGCAGGGTTACTCTTTCTTAAAGAAAAATGCATGATGCTGTGCGTGTTTTTCTGAGTCAGAACATTGTATTCTTTGAAATTTGTCAATCTCTTCATATGTTACGTGTTGCCACTCATTTACAGAATGATGGGTTATTTTAAAGTTTTATATCATTTTGGAATCTATAGTTGAATCTCAATTATTCAGAATGTAACAAAGCAAAACTCATATAACTGGAGAACTCTATTCAGCTTAAAACAATAAATGCTAAGGTTCCAGCAGGCTTCTTTTCAAAATGCAATCTTAGTTATGTTTTAGAGGATGAACCTACTCATTTCAATTTCACATATTCTGAGCATTTACATGATGATAAACTAATAATTGTCTACATCTCAGAATGTAGTGTTTGAACCACCTGTAGAATCTAAAATGTGCTTTGCTGAACCTTACCCATCACAGTCCATGGGGGTGGGGCCTAAGAATGTCCTTTGAAAAAGGTACTTTAAGCAATTCTTTTTGCACACGTACGTTTGAGAGCCACTGGTCAAGATGGAAAGACCCAAAATGGTTTTCTCAGCTCTCAGAAGGCAGTAAGATTATACTTAGAATATTCTTCTTCCCGAGACAGATAAGGGATTAATATGACTACAAGTGAAAGCAAAATGGCTTTCCTTTTTAACCACATTAATCATTGCATTACTATCTCACTCACTAAGCATCCCAGTTCATTGATATTTACCGTCTGGAGAAACTGTAAGAGGTTGACTAACCGGAAACAATGAATTTTCGGTAAACCAGCTGAGAACAGTAGTAAGATGAACTTCTCTGGAAGTACTCAGAGCAACATCGAGAACTTCAGTAATGTTGATGTTGTCCTTTTAAATCCTTGTGAAGTTGCCCCTTTTCCAAGATGGAGTGAAAAAGGAATGTATGTCAAAACATGACACCCGCATTTTGATAACTTTTCTTCGTATCGGAAGACCATGCTGCCTGCTCCTCCCTCTCCTGGCACCACGTGCTTTTGGGTGTCTCATTCCTTAAATGAGTTCCGTTGGGCACCTGTGCGGATGAAGGTGTCAGCACAGTATGTCTCTGTCCTGTGTCTGTTCCCTACACGTTTTGAATTTGACCAAGAATTTGCCCCCCTTCTTTACAGGGCAGAGATGTAACATTGACATTGACGAGTGTGCCTCCAATCCCTGTCGCAAGGGTGCAACGTGCATCAACGACGTGAATGGCTTCCGCTGTCTATGCCCCGAGGGGCCCCATCACCCCAGCTGCTTCTCGCAGGTGAACGAGTGCCTAAGCAACCCCTGCATCCACGGGAACTGCACCGGGGGCCTCAGCGGGTGAGTAGCTGTCATGCGGTCATCGTTTCTTGTTGACCGGTGCCCAGGCAGTTGGGTTGAAGTTCTGGCTGTACCTGCCGAAGTCAGTCAGGGGCCTGAGCTGAGTTTAACTGAAGAGTTTGGTAGTCAGTATCGTAGCCTTCCAAATTGTCCTTTGTCCTTCCCTCCCATGGCTGAGCAGGTGGAAAAGAAAGAGGAATGTTGTCCTCGTGTGAGTAGGCAGCACATGGGAGGAGTTCAAGGTTGTTTTATGAGTCTTTGGCAGGTGGAAGAATGAAGAAGGTGTTTAGAGGCAAGTGGGAAAGCAAGTCATTTCCCAGATGGATTTTCTCAGGATTCCTGCTTCAGTGTAGGGCAGCCTTCAAAACATCTCAAACCATCACATTTTTCCTGAGAATCGCCAGACATGGAGGCCACCATCTCCTGATACGACATTCTAAGTGCTGATGATATGCAAATTATGAACAATGTCCATGTACTTCAAATACCTTCATTTGGGTCCTTTTTCTGCTCAGTACCCTGGGTGCTTTCTGCGGCAGGGTTTCCAGTCAGAACAAAACATATCTCAGAAGTCAGACTTTCTAGGAGATCTTCAGAGTGGTTCAGAGTCTCTGGTACTAATCTACTTCCTGGGTGTGTGTTGTGCCTCAGAAACAAATGACCCCAAGGTTTGCTTTTAGTTTTGCTTTAAAAAAATTTTTTTTAATAATTTATTGTTTAAAGTATTACATAAGTCTCCTTTTCCCCCCATTGACCTCTTCCCAGCTTTCCCCACCCCTAATTTTATATATATATATTAAAAAAACCCTGAAGATTTATCCATATTAATGTCTTTCAGATTGGTCTAATATGTTGTACCAATCATACTCTTTACATATGAAAGCTCAGTGTAATTAATTAGTTTCTCTAGCATCTTTGTGAGCCAGGGAATCACCAGGAAGGAAGGTCATTCCACCTGATCCACATTGTATTCATGGTGACCCATGTACCCAGAAGAGTAGAAATGAGATTAGCTTACCTTCATCTCCTCTTTCTCTCATTTCTTCACCACGTCCTGTATTCATCTCTGGCTCAATCGTACCTTCATTCCTCATAGTAAAGAATTCTGTTCGTTTGTGTTTTCAGATACAAGTGCCTCTGTGATGCAGGCTGGGTTGGCATCAACTGTGAAGTGGATAAAAATGAATGTCTTTCCAACCCATGCCAGAATGGAGGAACTTGTGATAACCTGGTGAATGGATACAGGTGCACCTGCAAGAAGGGCTTTAAAGGTGAGGGCAAAGTGCCTGTTTCCCTCTCCATTCTCTGCCCTTTGGTTGGTGCATGTTGCTTGGCTCACTTCTTTCCTTCCTTTTCTTCCCCTGTTCATTCACACGGCAAACATAATTTGAGCACCTAATATTTTTAAGGCAGGCACTTGGGCAGTAAAAACATAAATAGATATAGATTCTACTTTCAGCCTAGCAGAGAGGCGAGCTATGGAAGGTGAGCAGCCGAGACTTCACTTACACGACTTTGGACAGGTGTTCTAATTGCAAGCTTCTTGATGCAGGTTTGATCCTGCGGTAATTCAAAAGAGAAATTCAGAAGAGAATGAAATGATTGTCTTGCTGTCATTCCTACAGCAGTAATTTGGAAGGATTTATGTGTTCAAAGCCTTCCAGCAAATTCTTTCACACAGTGAGATACCCTTAGATACATAGTTCCCCGTGGCCTTCTGGTAAAATACAGAATAAGGGGGGTATTGTGTAAAATAATTTTCGAGTTGTTACTGTTGTATTTCTGCCATTAGCTTTCTCTTGGAAACTCGTGAGAGAGAAATCCATGGGTAAATCATTTACATTTGAACTGCTCTAAGCACATAGTTTTCAAGTTCCCCACTCAAAAGTGGTGCCAGGCTACTAGGAACCAGCAGTATATTTGATTTTATTTGATTAATTAAAAATGTCCTGAAACCATAGTTTAGTTATTAACTTACTGATATATTACATTTGCAAAAAAAAAAAAAAAAAGCATGTAGATTTAAAAGCACTTTTATGTCTTTATCTCGTTGAGACGTACCGATCAAACAAAATCAAAACGTACAGTCCCATATTTGTATGACTATTGAATAGCCAGCCCTCTGCACTCCCAGGTCATTTTTACAGTGCTCCGATTCCTCTATTTTACGGCTTCATTGAAGATGCAAAGGTGTGCAATAGTTGGGTACTTTCCTGTTCCCATAAGTGGCTCTTGACGAGTACTTTTCTCTTTTTTATAGTGGGAGTAGAATTCCTGTCTTGATCGGGAGGAGGCAGGCAGTCCTATCTTATCAATGGAAGAGGGAGCATAACTCGGAGGCTTTTATTAATGCATTCAAGGATGTCACCCCCCCCCCATAAAGCATACCCTTTTTTTAACCCCTGACCAGATAGTTTGTGTACAGAGAGCTTATATTTAGACTGAGCAGCAGATTTTTGCTCTTAATGAACTTCTTGGTTCATTATTGAGAAGGTACTTGTACTGTATTTGAGGATGCATTAGACTTCCAGGATATCAGAACATACCTTAACTAATTAAGCTCTGTTTTTTTTTCACTTGCCATATGGCAGGGACTTGCCACTGAAACCAAGGAACAGATGTTCCGGTGGCCTGAAGAAATGAATGCAATTTCTGAGGTGTTTCATGTTTACCACTGAGAGGATCGCTTACTAATTCAGATAATAGGAGGCTGACAGAAAGGTTCACGGTTTGGGTTTTCCCCCTTTCCTATCCACAGGCTATAACTGTCAGGTGAATATCAACGAATGTGCTTCAAACCCGTGCCTGAACCAAGGAACCTGCCTTGATGACATAAGTGGCTACACCTGTCGCTGCGTGCTGCCATACACAGGTGAGCCCTGAAAGCACAGGAATGCTCATCTCCCCTTGTCACTCCACACCTCGGAGTCTCAGAGGTGGGATCGGGGGGGCTGCTGCTCTGAGGACTCGCCCGTCGCCTGTCCTGCCATCACTCACTGGGTCTGGAGCTCTGAGAAATCACTGTGACCTCCCTCATGCGAGTGCTGGGAGGATTCATTGCTTTCTTGGCTCTTTAGGGTCTGAAGTTTTTTTCCATCATGTGTGGTTGGAGCTGATGGTTTAGTCCCGTGGTCGGCAAACTGCGTCTCGCGAGCCACATGCGGCTCTTTGGCCCCTTGAGTGTGGCTCTTCCACAAAATACCATGGCTTGAGCGAGTCTATTTTGAAGAAGCGGCGCTAGAAGTTTAAGTTTAAAAAAAATATGGCTCACCCAAGAAATTTCAATCGTTGTACTATTGATGTTTGGCTCTGTGGACTGATGAGTTTGCCGACCACTGGTTTAGTCCATTATGGTGAATGGATCAGTGTCTCCATGGACCATGCTCTTAGTGTTGGTCTCAATAACAAAGCTACCACTTATTGCTAATCCACTGTGTGCCAGATACTTTATACACTTGGAATTACTTCTTCTAGCGCTCACAGTAACCCTACAGGGAGACCATTTGATACATGAAGAAGCTGAGGCAAGAGAGGTTACTTGCTGAGGGTCACAGAGATGGGTGGTAGGTTTAGGATTTGTCCCCAAGTCTCTGAACCCAGAGCTTGTCCTCTTAACTGCCATTCTTCTCCTCCCAGTCCGCACAGCTGCGTCTCATCCAGAGAGGTAACACCCTGGATGGCGCTCATACACAGAAGACACGCTGTGCCTCCATTGCGTGCCAGATGGTCTTTGTTTCAGGTGGTATCTCAGGAGCGTGCTTGGGCATGTCTGCTGTGTTCTCCTGCCTCGTTACTGCCATCCTGTGATGGGTTGTGTTTGTGTGGCTTATTGACCTCCTCGCCATCCCATTTTCTTCATGTCTGGGTACAGAACAGACGTGGGGGATGGCGTTGCACGGTTCTGCAGTGAGCAGCATGCGGGCGGGTGGCCTTGGCCTTGGGCTGTGCACAGTAGCTGTGACTTGTGACTCTGAGCAGTGCAGAGTGGCGGGTGGCCTCAAGCATGACCCTGGGACCTGGAAGATTTGATGCTACTTGTTCCCTCTGCCCGGCTCAAGTTCGTGTGCGGAAATGGCCTGTAGCCAGCCTGGTGGGTAAAATCAGAGTTACCGAGATCCCCAGCTCTCCCCAGATGAAGCTAGTCTCCACCATGTCATTCATTTCACAGCGACAGTGCTAACCACAGTCACTGGCAGTGAGAAGTTCATCTCACAACCATATTGACGGCTGTGGGGAGATGTAGGCAGACGGCACTCTGTGCAACCACATCATAGACTTGTCTGAGTGTGACTTGTGTGTACAGTTCATGTTGAAATTACTCATTCTGTCTTCTTGCTCTGCAGATACTAAAGGAATAGTTGACTCTGTGCCAGCTGTCGGTTTTTCTTTAGATTAGGGTGCCAATAAAAGAATCTGCTATGTGTGAACTTTGAGAAATTAATTATATTAGGCTGCGCAAGTGAAATCTCAGTGCTGAGTGTGGCTAAGGCTTCTGCCTGGCCTTGAGTTTGGCCCTCATGAAGGCCACTAAGCAGCATTGTCTTCTCTGTGAGCCACCATTCTGACCAGACACACTAAAAGCTGGTTGGGAGTATTGGTGAAAATGTGTGGTAATGTTCTTCTTTCTGACTCAAAATATTAGGATAAAATTTTAAATCGAGCTAGTTGCAACTTGACTTTGAAATCAACCTCATCTCCCTTTTAATAAGAGCATACAATGAGGCAGAAAACATCGGTGGGCAGATATTAATGTCATGCTGTTGCTGTCGGTATAAGGAGACATGTTGCTAGGCACTCAGGATCACTTCCCTGTGTCCTCCCTCTGGGGCCTCCTGGTCAACCTCTCTGCCTTCTGGAACGGGCCAGTGGGGCTGAGAAGTAGGAGGCCATACCGTGATGGCTTCTTCACTGTTCACACGAAGGGGGCCTGTGTGGCTAGGCCTCCAAGTAGCCGCGTCTTAGCTGTGGAGATGCAGGAGCTGTCACTCCTGACTGATACAGATGTCAAATGCATGCAGCCACTAGTGACAGCAGGATAATTAAGCGGCCCCCCGATTGCCGTGTGCTCACTCTATGTGCCAGGCTCTAACCAGTATGCACTTTGTGATCGATTTTTCACTGAATCCTCAAAAGCCTCTATGAGTGCTGTCCTGATTTCCATTTTACTGATGTGGGAGGCTCAGAGGAGATGAGTAATTTACCTGAGGCCACGCAGTTAGTAATAAAGTCGGAGCCAAGACTCAAGGGCCGCAGGTCTCTCAGATTCCAGACCTCTTCACCACTGCCCTGGGCATGCATTGGGAGAGCCTCCTTCGGTATAGAACCTGGGAAATGTCCGATTCCGTGGCCAGTTTTCTGTCCTGAACGCTGTCGTTTGCTTTGCAGGCAAGAACTGTCAGACGGTCCTGGCTCCCTGTTCCCCAAACCCTTGTGAGAATGCTGCCGTGTGCAGAGAGGCGCCCAATTTCGAGAGTTACACCTGCCTGTGTGCCCCTGGCTGGCAAGGTAACAACATGGGGAGGGAGAAGCCAAACATTTTCTCATGTGGGCAGGTCATCAGAATAAATGGAAGGCCCTGGTCTTTGTCCAGGACACAGGCGTAGGACAGGAGCTGCTAACGGGAATGACTTAGAAAGCCTTTCTACATTGCATGTCTGTGGGGCCCTCTGGTGCCTGGAGACTCCAGCCTGAGCCTGAAACCGTGATGTCCTGCAGGGAATTTTAGCACCTCGCCAGCTGCTTGTCGGGGGGGGGGGGGGGGGGGGGTGAGGGGGCACAGGAGCCTCCAGGAACTTCCCAAAGCAGGAGACTAACCAGAATGCCTCTGGAATAGCCCATCCCCCCACATAATCTCTGTGGAATCCGTGTCCCCAGACTGGACCACTCACTGCCTGTGTTTCTAGGTCAGCGGTGCACAATTGACATTGACGAGTGTGTCTCCAAGCCCTGCATGAACCACGGCCTCTGCCATAACACCCAGGGCAGCTACATGTGCGAGTGTCCTCCGGGCTTCAGCGGCATGGACTGTGAGGAGGACATCGACGACTGCCTCGCCAGTGAGTATGCCAGCCGGCTCCTCAGCCCCGGGGCCCAGGAAAGCACTCGGGGGGCGCCGAAGAGCTGGCGGGGGCAACTGCCTCTCGGGGCTAAGACTGGCCACCCCGACAGCTTATCACATGTCGTTAATATTCGTGTTTTACATTCTTTCCGAAGCTAGTCGCTTTGGGAGTGAAGGCAGAGGAATCTCTTCTAAGCATTCCCTGAGTTTACCAGGTTACTGCTCTTAGTGGGACTGAGTGCAGGTCCCCCACCTCCGTGAGGCTCAGGTTAAATTGCTGCTGCTGTTCAGAACTCTAATTCTCGTGGGTAATGGCTTAGATCCTTGCCAGAACGGAGGCTCCTGTGTCGATGGAGTGAACGCTTTCTCCTGCCTGTGCCTTGCGGGCTTCACCGGGGACAAGTGCCAGACGGACGTGAACGAGTGTCTGAGCGAGCCCTGTAAGAACGGGGGCACCTGCTCCGACTACGTCAACAGCTACACGTGCAAGTGCCCGGCGGGGTTTGAAGGCGTCCACTGCGAGAACAACATCGACGAGTGCACCGAGAGGTGAGCGCCCGTGCCCTCCAGAAAGAGGGGGCACGGCACCGGGACCGCGGGGCAGGGGCAAGGCCTCCATGTGGGTCCCACTCCAGTCTCCTGTCGCCCAGCCCCGATTCCTTGTAGATGTGTAGCTAGCATGGCGAAGGTCAGGGGCTGACGAGCTTAGTGTGGGTCATCTTTTATTTCTTGCTTAGGGAACAGAAAGAGCTATAATTCTGAACAAAAGACATCCTTCTCTTTGTCTTTTGTTCCTATTAGTTGACAATTTAAAATTTCTTATTTCCTTACAGATGTGTCATCACTGTTTAAGTAATATCTGGGAGGCTGTGTTTTTGGTGTGTTTGGTTTTGGGGTGTTTTTTTTTTGTTTTTTTGGGGGGGGGAGTTACTTATTAGCAAATTTGCTGTTTCTCTTTCATAAAGTAATCTAGAGTCAAGAGCTTTCTGTTTAGCCCTTTTCTTAGAACTGAAATTGGCTTAGGGATAAAATGAAATGTGATATAAAAGGACTGAGTAAAATTTGGAAACCTTCACTTTCTCTGGGAATCGCTCATAAACTCAGCCTTTGAAATACTTCTTAAGCTTCGTGGTTGTGGATAGGAAGCTGGGGCTCAAGGCCAAGGGGCAACCAGTCTAGTTTGGAAAAGGGTAACATGTATGGGATAGAGGGGTTTGGGATGCTCAGGAGAATTTGCCTCCGTAGCGTCTTAGGTTCCAGGAACCTTGCTCTGTAAATAGCAGGTCAGAGGCCCGGATCACCCCGCTGATGGCACTCTCCCTGTTTGCTCCTCAGCTCCTGTTTCAATGGTGGCACGTGTGTCGACGGGATTAACTCCTTCTCTTGCCTGTGCCCTGTGGGCTTCACCGGCCCATACTGCGTCCATGAGATCAATGAATGCGACTCTCACCCGTGCCTGAATGAAGGAACATGTGTGGACGGCCTGGGTACCTACCGCTGCACCTGCCCCTTGGGCTACACTGGGAAAAACTGTCAGGTAATTAAGTCCCAGCCAACTCACTCAGCTTCCTCGGAGCAACCAAGTTCTGTACCTATTTCCTTTCTAGGTGCATAAGCCCCTTCTGAAAGAGGTTAACGTCTTCGTAGCTAGTAAACTCCAAAATAGCTGCACTGGCGAGATTATACAGATTAACAGTACAATTGTTTACAGACTGAGGACTGCAAACAAGGACATGTAGGAAGTAAGCCCATAGATATTGTTTACATTGGAAATATAGAAAGGAAAAAAAAAAAGAACAATAAAAAAAATTAAAGCTTTAAAGGTCAGGTATAATATCTAAGGGGATAAGTGTCAGGTCTTACCTTGTTGTGATATCCTCAGGCCAAGCTAGTCACACATCTTTTGAATGCAAACCCCTAAGTGTACGTTTTTCTGGACTCTTAGGAAGGGCCCCTCAGCACCAACCAGTCTAGCCTTTCATTTCATGACCAAGTCCTGGAGGGACAGACCGACTCTCCCAAGGTTGCATACCAGGCACTGCGTGTCCTTGTATGCTGCTTTACCTCTTAAAGCCGTGGCAAAATGATAGCATCGCAGAACTCTAAAGAATTTGGGAATGAACGGCCACATTTAATGAGACTTACAGGTGCCCTTCAGCAAGGCCCTGTCCATGCCCGACATGCACGTATTACCGCCTCTGCACATTAAACAGCTTGCTGCGGGTTCTGAGGGCCAGGGGACATCCTCGTTGGGTTTCTGCGCATTCTCCCGGGGTGAGGTTATAAATGCTGGTGGAGCACTCTGCCCTCCGCCTGTCGGCCCCTCCTTTCACAGACTTCTGTATTGTGGACTTGCCCCTCTCCCAGAAGCCACATGAGACTATTGAGAAAGGCCCAAGTCTGCTGGCACTCTTTGCCTCACTTTTTCACAAGCCTGATTTTCTCCGCTCAAAACAAGCTGTTTGGCAGCTTTTAGGCGTATGAACGGGCTTTCAGATCATTCTCACCGCAGGCAGGTTTGCTCGAGACCCCCGTGGATTCCTGGCGCCGGATTGGCACAGGGAGACATGTACTTGTCTGACAGCTTAACGCTTGCCTTCTAGCCATACAGCATTATCCTATATCCAGACATAATCATGATGTAGGGAATAGCTTAACCTATCGGGCTTCCTCATAGTCTTCAATTTCTCTGGTAAGAACTGTTTAGATAGCAGAGCTAAGAGGAACTGGACTATATGAAATGATTAGGTTATTTGAGAACACTGGATCTCATTTAAGGCTTGAGTTAAGGCTTTTTTTTATTATTTAATATCATTTTATTGACTTCAGAGAGGGAGAGAGGGAGAAAGATAGAAACATCAATAATAAGAGAGAATTATCGATCTGCCGCCTCCCATACTGGGGATTAAGACTACAACCTGAGCCCGTGCCCTGACCGGGAATCAAACCGTGACCTTCTGGTTCATAGGTGGATGCTCAGCCACTGAGCCATGCCGGCAGAGTGGGGGAGAGCTTTTGGAAAAAATTAATTAACGTGCTTTTCTTTGATTTCTTACAAGGTAGTGTAACCTATTCTCTTCGTTTCCGGTGTGTGGGTGTTGACGTGTATGTGCCTCTGTTTCAGACCCTGGTGAACCTCTGCAGTCGGTCTCCATGTAAAAACAAAGGCACCTGCATGCAGGAAAAAGCGCGCTCCTGGTGCCTGTGCCCACCTGGGTGGGCTGGTGCCTACTGTGATGTGCCCAACGTCTCCTGTGAGGTGGCGGCCAAGAGACGAGGTAAGCCCTGCCCCTGAGGCCCAAGGGCCCCTCCCTGAAGTATTGACTGGCCGGCGGCATTTAGGGCAGGTGTTGTCATTGTGGGCTGAGATGAAAGGGCAAAAGTACAGGCCTAGAGATTCCAAAAAAGAAATGTATCTGTATGCCTCTTCTTTATCCATTCGTCTATCAATGGACACCTAGCTTGGTGTTGTAAATAACACCATGATAATAATTCAACATTTATATATATTGGCTGTTGTAACTAATTCTGTGATGAGCATAGTAGTGAATATGTCTTTTCACATTCGTGTTTTCATTTCCTTTGGATAAATACCCATATGGTAGTTCTATTTTTAATTTTTTAAAATATATTTTATTGATTTTTTTTTATTTTATTTTTTTATAGAGAGAGAGGAAGGGAGAGGGATAGAGAGCTAGAAACATCGATGAGAGAGAAGCATCGATCAGCTGCCCCCTGCACACTCCCTACAGGGGATGTACCCGAAAGCAAGGTACATGCCCTTGACTGGAATCGAACCTGGGACCCTTCAGTCCACAGGCCGATGCTCTATCCAATGAGCTAAACCGGTTAGGCTATTTTTAATTTTTTGAGGAACCTTCATAGTTTACAATTCCACCAGCAGTGGACAAGGACTCCCTTTCCTCCACGTTTGTGCCAACACTTGTTATTTCTTGTTATTTGTTGACTTTTTGATAATAACCATTCTGACAGGTGTGAGGCGATATCCCATTGTGGTTTTAATTTGCCTTTTCCTGGTGATTAGTAATCTTGAGCCTCTTTTCATATGTCTGTTGGCCATCTCTATGTCTTCTTTGAAGAAATGTCTATTCAGGTTCTCTGCTCATTTTAAAAATAAAATTTTTAATGTTGATTTATATGAATTATTTATGTATTTTGGATATTAATCCCTTATCAGTTATATGACTTGCAAATATTTTCTCCCACTCAGTAGATTGTCTTTTCATATGGTTTCACTTAGATGTGGAACCTAAAAAAAAAAAAAAAAAAAAGACTTACAGATACAAAGAACAAACTGATGGTTTCCAGAGGGGTGGTGGGTTAAAAACATGAAGGGGATTAAGAGGTACAAACTTCCAGTTATAAAAGTAAAAAAAGCCATGGGGATGTAGTTTATAGCTTAGGGAATAGAGTCAATAACATCATAATAATTTTGTATGGTGACAGATGGTTACTACACTTATCATAGTGATCATGATATATATATATATATATATAAATGTTGAATTATTATCATGGTGTGCACCTAAAACTCATACAATGTTGTATGTCACTATAGTTTCATAAAACCAAGAAATATATTTTAAGTGCAACAAAGGCATGTACGCTTTCAGGGCTTGTTTATTTTCAACACATTTCCAGTGTCAAGGGCCATGAATGAGTCTGGAATAAAATCCGATGTGTCCACTGGCTTGATTAGTTTGCTCAGAGTTGGTCTGAACCTAACACGTCCTGTGTCTTCTGTGACATGTCTTCTTCCGCCGGTTCCCCAGGGCTGACCCCCGACCGCTTGTGCCAGCACTCGGGCGTCTGCATCAATGCTGGCAACTCGCACCACTGCCAGTGCCCCCTGGGCTACACCGGGAGCTACTGCGAGCAGCAGCTGGACGAGTGCTTGTCCAATCCCTGCCAGCATGGAGCCACCTGCAGGGACTTCGTTGGTGGATACCGATGTGAGGTGAGTCAGAGGCAGGCACACGGCAGAGTCCTTCCAGAAGATGGTGCAGCTATTGCGAGCACTAGCGTATTGAATTTAGCTGTGTATGTCCTATTTCTGCAAATTTTAACCAAGCGCCATTCCAGCGTTTCCTGTGAAAGTATAAACGTGTTCCTTTCAGGCCCCTGTGCCATACGTTAGCGTAGCTGTAGTAAGATATTTTCAGAGGTCTGGAGCCACCTCACTTCCCCGGGGTTGCCTCTGCTCGTTTTAACATTCAGAGCCAGTATTCACCGCCTGAGCCTGGAGATGGATAAATGCAATACCTTTTACCACCATCCACACAGACGACTTGGCTTAGTCATAGCATCTTCATCCCATACAAGGGAATGCATCTTTTAAAGATGGGACCACCCGCCCACAGAGGGACAGGAGTTTTGCACAGGGGTCCCGTCTGAAATATCCCTCAGTATCCAGTCCTTGCCATCCGTTACGGTGGCTTTTCAGCGGGAGAGGTCGATGCTGGTGGGCGGCAGTCAGCCCCGCTCAGGATGAAGGTTGGGAGGGGGGTGATGTCAGAGAAACATGCCGGAGCCAGTACGGTGGGGGGAGGAAGTGGGGAGGGCAGAGGTCACAGTATCGTGCCAGATCTCGTTTGCTCGTGGTCTGTTTCTAACGATGGTCCCATATTTCTTGTCCTTCTGTCTGCCCCCGGCAGTGCGTCCCAGGATACCAGGGTGTCAACTGCGAGTACGAGGTGGATGAGTGCCAGAACCAGCCATGCCAGAACGGGGGCACCTGTGTCGACCTAGTGAACCACTTCAAGTGCTCCTGCCCACCGGGCACCCGCGGTAGGAAATCAGCCTTGTCCATTCTCTGTCCGGGGCATTCTCTAAGTTATAAATGCAATTTTAATGTTGAGGAGAGGGTGTTAAAAACCAGATATTACATGGTCTGAATTCTGGTAACTCGGCCGTTTCATTCTCTCGGCTCTTGCCTGGCTCTGAGGTTCTGACTCATGTCCTTAGTGCTGTCTGGGTCTTGCTGACATCTGATGTTCCATGAAACACAGAATGTGGAAATCATAGAATTTTGCAACAACATTAGCCTGGTGGCGAGATTTCTTGGAGCTTCGAGGGAAAACAGCCAGTGGCCCCTTGAGTAAATAATTCCCATTTACCAGATGATGTATCTTTTTTTTTCTTTTTTTTTTTTTTTAAACCTGCCAAGTCTTGTCCCCCTAAGGTGGAGAAATGAATGGATGAAAACTATTGACCGATATTCATAAGCCTAAGGAGGGGCCGGGTGGCTAACCATTGCGCTTTTTCCTAATGCTACTCATTTTCCCAACAGAATTCACTGAGCATTCGATCTTTAAACAATGACTTAAAATGGTACCTTTATCAATCTCTCAATCCCCTGTATATTTGGGAGTTTTTTCTTGGACTTTCCTGTTTTGTTTTGTGAATTTATCAGTACTACCCTAGAGGTTTTAATTTTTTTTTTTAAATATATATATTTTATTGATTTTTTACAGAGAGGAAGGGAGAGAGATAGAGAGCTAGAAACGTCGATGAGAGAGAAACATCGACCAGCTGCCTTTTGCACACCCCCTACCGGGGATATGCCCGCAACCAATGTACATGCCCTTGACTAGAATCGAACCTGAGACTTTTCAGTCCGCAGGCCGACGCTCTACAGCTGAGCCAAACCGGTTTCGGCGAGGATTTAATTCTTATGGATCTTCTTTTCCAGAGTTTTCTGGGCTATGGTCATAGTTTTTGTTTTTGTGGATTTTTTTTTCCCATATGATTTTAGCATCGGACTGTCTATTTAAAAATCCTGTTGTTATTTTTATTGGAGTCACATTAAATTTCTGAATGTGTACAGAAAAACCTGACATTTTTATGATGAGGAATCTTCATTTATTCATCTCCTGTGGCTTGCATGACCATTTTAAAGTTTTCACATTCGTAGATATTTTATCTTTTGCTGTTGCTATTGAAAATGAGGTCTTTTCTTACATTTCTCTTTCTTTTTAATACTACATCTCACACTCGTGTTCGCTACACCTTCAAGCAGTAGGAATTCAAAACTGTTTCCCTTTCTTTTGTAGATTTTTTCGTTGCTTATGGAGTCATTTCTAGAATAGTCATTGATTTCTTATGTTCTTTTCTCAAAAGCATTTACAGATATTTCTACTGGATGGCTCATTTGCATCTATTGTACATTAAATGAGTTCTGCTTTAAATAAAATAACCGTTGAGGTCTCAACAGGATATTTTCCCTCTGTTTTTTAATATAAGAAACTAGCACACTTAAACCATTGTCCAGAAGAATAGTCAGTGGGTATGAAACTTTTAAAAAATCTTTCAAAATTTAGATCCAGTTCTTACCGATATTTTTACCTGCTTGTAGTCTATGCAGTTATTGGTTTGTTCTCTTTGGAACAGTTTTTATATTTTGAATCAGGAGCTCCAGTGTCCTCATCTCTCAGGTGAGACACACAGAACCAGCTGCTCGCTGGGGATGTCATTGCGTGGAGCGCACCTCTGAAGCCCTAAGCACACTCTTTCCTTTGCTGTCACTGGTCCCCAGAAGAATGGTGGCTGTTTGGATCAAGAGTGTACTTTGCCTAAGAGGTCTCTCCACAGATGGAGAAGAGGAACGGATTGATTTCAAAATGACAGCCAGGGGGGGCCCTCCCTTGCTGGAGAGCAGGGTTCCCAGAACGGTCCTAATTCTCGCTCTCCTCTCCCCCCAGGCCTGCTCTGTGAAGAGAACATTGATGACTGTGCCAGGGGACCCCACTGCCTCAACGGCGGCCAGTGTGTAGATAAGATCGGGGGCTACAGCTGCCGCTGCCTGCCTGGCTTTGCCGGAGAGCGGTGTGAGGGGGACATCAACGAGTGCCTGTCCAACCCGTGCAGCTCGGAGGGCAGCCTGGACTGCATACAGCTCACCAACGACTACCTGTGCGTCTGCCGCAGCGCCTTCACAGGTGAGGCCTCTCCGGGAGGGAGCTTTTCTTAGGCAGGAAAGCTAGACCAGCTCCGGTCAGGGCCCAGTTTCTTCTGAGGTCTGTGCTCGATCAATTCTATAATCAGTCTGCAATCTCTACATTTTCTCTTCTGCTATACATTGATTTTATATATATCCTATATATTATATATATACTGTGTGTGTGTTTATACATATATGTGTATATATATACATATATATACTCACACGTAGTTTATATACATTTATGTAGCAGAGATATAAAAAAATAGAACTTTGGGAGTAATTGAGCAAAATCACATTTTTAAAAAAATATATTTTATTGATTTTTTTACAGAGAGGAAGGGAGAGGGATAGAGAGTTAGAAACATCAATCAGCTGCCTTCTGCACACTCCCTACTGGGTATATGTCTACAACCAAGGTACATGCCCTTGACCGGAATCAAACCTGGGACCCTTGAGTCTGCAGGCCAATGCTCTATCCACTGACCCAAACCAGTTAGGGCCAAAATCACATTTCTTTATTGCAATAAAATACACATAAAGTTTACCATCTTAACCACTTTTAAGTGCACAGCTCAGTGGTGTTCATCACCAGCATCCATCCACAGGGCTTTTTTCCTCCGAGCAAAATACCAGTGGGGAAATGAGCCCTGGAAAATTAAGCTGTATTTTAAAGCAGCACCAATCAGGCTTCAGAAAGGCTAAAAAAAAAAAAAAAAAAAAATGATTGAAAAGAGATGTTATGGATGAAAATTATCTATAAATTGCAAATCAGCACTTATCTATATTGGTCTGGGGTAGTCTTTCCTATGAAGGAGAGGATGTTAACAAAATACAGTGAACAGTTTTGCTAATGTTTCCTTTGGCTTATGAAAGCTAAATGCCTTCACTAAAGAGCTGTGTCGTTTTCCTTTTTTTCTTTTTTGGGTGATGGTCTTAGAGTCACTTTTCATATCTGTCCTGTTCTGTGAGTCAGGTGGGAATGTAGACCTGGCCTGTCTGTAGTGGAGATGAGACAGGTGAGGGGGTGGGTCAGGCACCCTGAGGTCGGCGTGTGCTTCTCCCTGTCTCTGTGGCGGAGACCGGAGCGCTCGTACCTCCCACCCCACCTCTGACCTCTGACCTCTGACCCTGGGCTCGCTCACACCCTCGCAGGGCTCTGCTCAGAAACTTGTATTTCTGCCTCCTAAATAAAGCTCCTTTTCATGTTCTGCTTTGAGGTCGTCACTGCGAAACCTTCGTCGACGTGTGCCCCCAGATGCCTTGCTTGAATGGAGGGACCTGTGCCGTGGCCAGCAACATGCCCGACGGTTTCATTTGCCGTTGTCCCCCGGTAAGTGCCGTGCTGCCTCCTGAAGGCGCACGCTGCCGTCATACGGTCCGACCGGGCCGAGCGTAGCCTGGTCTCCCCACGCTGCAGGGGGGCTTTCTGGGCTCTCCATCTCAGCTCCCTTAGAAGGAAGAGCTTGGGTTTTCCGTGGAGAGCTAGGATACTGACACAGCGAGCGCCCTACTCTGCGCCTGTGGGTCTTCGGGAGCACCGAGGGACCCTGCACGCGGCGGGGGGTGCTCCCCGCAGAGAGGACCGCTGTTTTTGGCTGCGGGCGCTGCGCTGGCCGTGGTCTTGCTCGCTGCCCTGCTGGGGGCAGAGTTGGCTGGAAATGCAACTTCGCTGGCATTCCTCCGCAGGGGCTGTTTGGGAGTAAGCTGCTGCTTAAACTAGAAGGAAGCCTGTTTTAGCCATCTGCTGTGCAGACCCCTTTGCCGCTGGCGGAGGCTGACATCTCCCTGTGTGGAGGCACCGAGGGGAAGCCTCTGCAGGCGCCTGGGCTGGGGCTGTGCAGGAAGTGCAGGGATGACTGCCATGGGGAAGTGTATTTACCCAGGACTCCGGAAGCGGTTCCCACACTCCCCAAAGGCCTTCATCAGCGAGGACGATGGTTAGGAAAGGTGCTCACAGAGACAGTGTCGCCTGCGTCTTGTCCCATCACAACCTGTGGGCTTCATTTGGACGTGATCTTAAGTGGGTAGAGCCCACATCGCCCCACAGGTGGACTCAAAGAGGTCCCTTCTTGCAACTTGGCCCCATGGGCTGCGTGGAGGAATCTTAGGTGTCTCGCCCTTGCCTCCCTAGCGGTGTGGCCGAAGGCTCGGGAGGGGAAATGGGACGTGCCCTCCAGAATCCATCCCACATCCCCATTTATTCCCTGGTTTCCGCAGGGGTTCTCCGGGGCGAGATGCCAGAGCAGCTGTGGACACGTGAAGTGCCGGCGAGGGGAGCAGTGCGTCCACACGCCCTCGGGGCCCCGCTGCTTCTGTCCCAACCCCCAGGAGTGCGAGCTGGGCTGTGCCAGCAGCCCCTGCCAGCACGGGGGAAGCTGCCTCCCGCAGCGCCAGCCCCCGTACTACTCCTGCCAGTGCCCCCCGCCGTTCCGGGGCGGCCGCTGCGAGCTCCACGCAGCCCCCACCAGCACCCCGCCTGCCACCTGCCACAGCCAGTACTGTGCCGACAAAGCCCGGGACGGCGTCTGCGACGAGGCCTGCAACAGCCACGCCTGCCAGTGGGACGGGGGCGACTGCTCCCTCACCATGGAGAACCCCTGGGCCAACTGCTCCTCGCCGCTGCCCTGCTGGGACTACATCAACAACCAGTGCGACGAGCTGTGCAACACGGCCGAGTGCCTCTTCGACAACTTTGAGTGCCAGGGGAGCAGCAAGACGTGCAAGTAAGGCTCCCGGGCCCTCGCAGCCGAGGGAGACTGTCACTAACACACCTCGGTTTCCTGTTCTCGCTCCTAACCACTCCAGCGCTTCCGCCCGACCCGCCTCCGCTTTCAGACTGGTGCCCGAGGCCCCCTGCTCCCTGGCGCCGGCCTCGTCCCACCGCACGCCGCCCGGGGCGCTGCCTGGCCGGCAGAGGTCCCGGGATGCTCATGGCACCGCCACCCTCTCTCTGCCTATCTCTGCCTTCTCACCTGCGGCTCTCGTGACCTCCTGGGGAAATGCCTTTTGGAAGTGGCGTTGGCCACTCTCGGGCAGAGCCTCTCACGTTAACCTGCCTGCGGGACGGATGCAAAGGTCTGTACCTCTGCCTGCTCACCCCACTCCTTCCCCAGCCGGGCTTGTCGGGAAGCGGAGCTAGGTTAGGCCGGGCAGCCCGCTCCCGGTTTTCGCTCCGCAGCTCCGGGGCGCTCTGCGGTTCACAGGGAGACTCTCCCGTTAGCTATCTCGTCTCGTTGCCTCTGATGAGTTTTCCACAGCCCAGGGAGGCGTGGGTCTTTCACGGGCGAGGGAACCGAGACCCAGGGGTTACATTGCCAAAGCACACCCAGCGCTTCCTGTCCCCTCGGCGCCGGCTGAGCGAGCGTGGCAGCTCGTGCCGGATGGAGCGACTGCCCCAGGCGGTGGTGGTCTGTGCAGCATGTAGGTCCCGGGACTCGGTTTCCCATTCCTGGTATTTGAAAGAGGCCGTACAAGTTAGGTGTGGTTTCCTGTGCGGGACACACGCCTCCCGGCCCACCTTCCATAGCTGGGATTCCGTGTGGGTTGGGAGGGATAGAGGCCACATGGACACGGTCTAGATGGCTCGGAGCTACGTATCCAGGTTCTGGAGGCACCTTCGAGGGTTACTTCCTTCCGATGCCCCCGGTTCCCTCGCCAGGGCGATGCAGACAGAAATAGAGGAAACACGAGGCAGGTTGATCTCCATCTTGTTTGTACACTTGACTTAAAAACACAGTGAGCTGCCAGGGCCCCTAGCCCGCGCGGCACAGGGAGCATGTGCTGTCTCTCGTTCAGGGCACAGGCTCTGTGCTCTAAGACGGCAGGGGCGGGAGACCAGGGAAGGCATCACGGGTCACATGGCCACAGGAGATGGGTAGGAGAAACCCAGCGTCGTTCCCAGTGGGAAACCGAATGGAGCTGCGGCCTCGTCTGAGCACTCCCCCCCGGCCTGCCTCCCCGCCCAGGTACGACAAGTACTGCGCGGACCACTTCCGGGACGACCACTGCGACCAGGGCTGCAACAGCGAGGAGTGCGGCTGGGACGGGCTGGACTGCGCCGGCGACCGGCCGGAGAACCTGGCCGAGGGCACCCTGGTGATCGTGGTGCTGATGCCCCCCGAGCAGCTGCTGCAGGACGCGCGCAGCTTCCTGCGGGCCCTGGGCACCCTGCTGCACACCAACCTGCGCATCAAGCGGGACGCCCAGGGCCACCTCATGGTCTACCCCTACTACGGCGAGAAGCCGGGCGCCCTGAAGAAGCCGAGGCTGGCACGCCGGTCGCTGCCCGAGGATCCAGACCAGGAGGTGGCTGGGTACGTTTTGGGTTTCTGAGGTGTTTTTTTGTTTGTTTGTTTTTATTGACTTGAGAAAAGGAGAGCTAGAAACATCAATGATGAATCATGGATCAGCTGACTCCTGCACGCCCCCTCTTGGGATTGAGCCCACAACCCGGGCATGTGCCCCGAATGGAACCGTGACCTCCTGGTTCATAGGTTGACGCTCAACCCCTGAGCCATGCCGGCCGGCCGGGCTCTGAGCATCTTAAAAGCTTAATTTTATAAAGCTGAGCCCTTCGATACACACAGGAAGTCATCCCGTAATCCATGGAAATGCAAAGCCCAGACAGATAGCACAGCCATCAGGCAAAACAGGCGCACGGTCCCAGGATCTGCATCTGAGAGTAAAGGGGACAGTGAGCAGGAGGCAAGAGGCAGGGAGGCCTCCTCAGGTGCAGGGTTCCCCAACCTCTCGCCAGGTCGCTTCACTCCCCTTTATGGGACACCTCTCTCGCATCCATCGTTGGCTGTGTGCTGCCTCAGTCAGAGGCTGGGACTCGGCCCAGGAAGGGGAGGCATCCCCTAGGCAGGAATCAGTGTGTAGGATCTGAAGGAGAAATAGTTTAACTTCTGAGAGCTTTCTGGAAGAGGCAGCGCCACAGAGGCCGACGCTGAAGGAGACAAGGAAGGCTCGTGCAGCCCTCCCTCCCTCCTCATTCCCCTTCCTCCTCTCTCCCCGGGCACCCACAGCTCTAAGGTGTTTCTGGAGATCGACAACCGCCAGTGTGTTCAAGATTCGGACCAGTGCTTCAAGACCACGGATGCAGCCGCAGCTCTCCTGGCCTCTCACGCCATCCAGGGCACCCTGTCCTACCCGCTGGTGTCTGTCGTCAGTGAGTAGCACTGCTTTGGGGGCAGGTGGGGTGGGGGGTGGAGGGGCGTCACGTGGGGACAGAGGGGAAGGGCACGCTCCTCAGCGTGCAGAGCTCTTTGCTTTGGGGGCTGGGAGCTCGCAGCGGCCCCCTGGGCAAACGTAAAGTGTGGGGCGGTCGATGTTTCATCGGCACCTTCCCCGTCGCTCGCACTTCCAGGTGAATCCCTGGGTCCCAAACCCACCCAGCTGCTCTACCTCCTCGCCGTCGCTGTCGTCGTCATCCTGTTCATTCTGCTGCTGGTGGTGGTCATGGCCAAGCGGAAGCGGAAGCACGGCTCCCTCTGGCTGCCCGAAGGCTTCACCCTCCGCCGGGAGTCCAGCAACCACAAGCGGCGCGAGCCGGTGGGGCAGGACGCCGTGGGGCTGAAGTAAGACCCGCAGGGCAGCGCGGGCAGGCGGGGCAAGGGGGGGTGCTACCTTCCGCTCCGAGCTCTGGCCACACCACCACGCGTGACCACACGCCGGTGCCCCCTGAGAATAATATCCCCGGTGACCGACGCTAAGAATAATAATATTCCAAAACTGCAGCCAGAGCCCGGTGCTTCCGACCTGCACGCGTACCTGTCGCATTGGTGCTCAGCTTCTGTGCTGAGGCGCACGTTATGTTCTGTTTTGTTCATCCTCACCCAAGGACATCTTTCCCCGTTAATTTTTAGAGGAAGTGGAAGGGAGGAGGAGGAGAGAGGGAGAGAGACAGAAAGAAACATGGATGTGGGAGAGACACATCGATTGGTTGCCTCCCACACACACATCCTGACCAGGCCAGAGACCCTGCACCCCAGATTCATGCCTTTGACCAGCAGAATCGAACCCGAAACCCTTTCGTATGTGGGCCAATGCTCTAACCACTTGGCAACACTGGCCGGGGCAAGACACACCTTTGTTGTAAGCGCTTGATGGGCGGGAAAGAAAGGATGCTTACTCAAGTAAAGGAACGTAAAATGCTGCCCATCCTCGTGGGCCAAAAGCGAGGATAGAGATGAGAGTGTGTCCTGGTGGGACGGGGAGGGCGGTCCTCCGGATCCGTTGGTGATATACCTCTTCTCTTGTTTTCCCTTCCTAATCCCGGCGATTATCAGAAACCTCTCAACGCAAGTCTCCGAGGCCAACCTGATAGGTTCTGGAACCAGTGAGCACTGGGTGGACGACGAAGGGCCCCAGCCAAAGAAGGCCAAGGTGAGCTGGCCACCATCGGCCTCACGCAGGGCACAGTTCCGTTTCTGTCCTTGGGAGCAGGGGTGTCCCAGATGGGAGTGATCATCTTTTTTTTTTTAATTTTTTTTTTATTAAATTATTATCTGTGTACATATTTTAACATTGCTCACCCCCCTCCTATACATACCCTCCCTCCCCAGAGTTTTGTGTCCATGGTCAAAGGCTGGTCAAAGGCACGATTATATGCATGATCGTCTTTATACGTTGCTCGGGCAACGGCTATCCCGGGCTGTCATGAAAGGCAGGGATCATGGCTGGCTTCGGGTGACCTATGTATGTTTTCAGTAAGAACTCTAAGAATAATAAAGCCAGCCTGCTTCCTTCCTGAAGTGCCATAGATGGAAGCCGAGTAAGGAATGAGGTGTGGAAATCCAGTTTCCTGCTGGCTTCATCTCACCCTCGCTCCGTCGGGCATTTCCCTGCTGGAAGGGAGGGTGGGGTTAACAGCGAAGAAGCCAGTGGCCGTCGGAGTTAGAGGGCTTAGTGGCCATCGGCTGTAGGGGACCGAGGACCGAAAGCCATTTAGAAGTAAGAGGCGGATCGGGCTGGGGCTGAGGTGGAAAGGGAGGCGGTCGGTCTATCGCTGTACGTGGCTGGGACATGTGTGCGTCCCGCGGGGGATTCTAAATCAGCGTGAGGAGGTGGTCCTCGGGTGTTACCGGCACGCACTGAGCAGCACAGTCCGGTCAAGTCCAAAACTCTGCTGCTTGGTAGCTGACAAGCTATTTAATCTTCTAGTGTGTAATTACCCTTATTTGTAAAATAATGCTGTTAATAGGGATATTAATCATTCTTTTCCATGTGAGTTGTTGTGGGGATTAAATACAGCAGTCCTTTTATTTCATGCTAGATATTCAGTATTAGGCAGCTGCTTTTAAAATTGTAATAAGTATTCTTGCTCAACAGATATTTCCCCAGTGCTTGCTCTGTGCAGGGCGCTTGTTTGCACAGGGCGGCAGTCCCTGTTCTTGGGAACCTCAGTCTGTCTGGTGGTCGAGACTAGGGTGCAGGTGTCCGGGAGCGCCCAGCACGTGGTCAGGAAGGAAAGGGGAGCAGAGTGCTCTTCAGGGACCACGGGAGGAATTGAAACCCAAAGTCATTTGACGGGGTGGTAGGAGTTAGAGGATTGGGAGAGACCTGGCAGACAGGGAGCAGCAGGAGCAAATGCCCAGAAGCAAGGAGATGGCATCTTGGGGCCTATATATAGCATGTTCGGTAGGCAGACACGTCAGGTATTAAGGCTGAGGCTAGTGTTTGGGCGGTGGAGGTGGGAGAGCTGGACGGTGAGTGGGACCGGGGAGCAGGAGCTGGGAGGCGGCTGTGGATGCAGATCTGAGGTTTGAGGCGGGGCTGAGGGGAAGCTGGCGGGACGCTTGGGACTCGCTTCGCCCGCAGCTCCTGGTGGCGGGCAGCTTCACAGCCGGCGTGCCGTCCCTTTGCAGGCTGAAGCCGAGGCTTTGCTCTCAGAAGATGACCCCATCGATCGGCGCCCGTGGACGCAGCAGCACCTGGAGGCCGCAGACATCCGCCGGACCCCGTCGCTGGCCCTCACGCCCCCGCAGGCGGAGCAGGAGGTGGACGTGCTGGACGTGAACGTCCGGGGCCCAGGTCCGCAGCCCCCCCCCCCTCCCCGAGGCCACGCCTGTGTGGGTTCTCTGTTGTCCCTCCCGTGTCTGCCCTGCTTGGAGATGTGCCCCAGCCAGTTTCCCAGATGCTGAGTCAGCACGAGGAGACGAATGCTTAAGGAATACAGGCACGCAGACATGAACTCACAGAGCAGAGCCTGGAGAGGGGTGTTGGGGGGGAGAATCTCGCACCCCTTCACGTCCAAGCGTGCTTGCAAACACGTGGGCTGATTATATGAGACAAATTTCATTGACTTTTCTGTCGTGTTTTGGGGGAGGGTTTGGGGTGTTTTGTTTTTTGGGTTGTTTTTTTTTTTTTTTTAATTAATCCTCATCCGAGGACATTTTTTTCCATTGATTTTTAGCGAATGGGAAGGAGGGGGAGAGACAGAGATACGTCAATAGGTTGCTTCCTTCATGCACCCCAACAGGGCTAGGGATTGAACCTGCAACCGAGGTACATGCCCTTGAGTGGAATCGAACCTGCAGCCCTTCCGTCTGTGGGCCAAAACGGCTAGGACGAGATAGATTTTTAGTACAACAGAAAAATCATATCGAAGCAGAGGGATGGGGAATTCATTTGGCTGAAACTTCCGGTGCCTGTAGCTCTGTGAACACTGGATATTTTATTTTATTTTTTTTAAAATATATTTTATTGATTTTACACAGAGAGGAATTGAGAGGGACAGAGAGTTAGAAACGTCGATGAGAGAGAAACAGCGACTAGTTGCCTCTTGCACACCCCCCACTGGGGATGTGCCCGCAACCAAAGTACATGCCCTTGACCGGAATCGAACCCGGGACCTTTCAGTCCGCAGGCCGACGCTCTATCCACTGAGCCAAACCGGTCCCGGCTGAAGACTGAATATTTTAAATTGTCCATGTAAAAATAGCATAACCCTTAGACACTTGCCCAGAAAGCTTGTTTAACTTTGAGAACCCTTCTTGTGCTGCCTCCTTACCCTTTCCTGGAGGCCGTTCCCAGGGTCAGAGCAGGTGGCCGGCGTCACCAGAAGCACAGGGATCCTTCCCAGTCGAAGGACGTGACTCACGTTGAGCTCTCCGGCAGTGGGGCTCACGAACTACGAGTGCCTTTCTCCTCCTGAGCTCCCGGCTTCTCCTTTCCTGCAGACGGCTGCACCCCGCTGATGCTGGCTTCCCTCCGAGGAGGCAGCTCCGACCTGAGTGAGGAAGATGAAGACGCCGAGGACTCGTCCGCCAACATCATCACCGACCTGGTCTACCAGGGGGCCAGCCTGCAGGCCCAGACGGACCGGACCGGCGAGATGGCCCTGCACCTGGCCGCGCGCTACTCCCGGGCCGATGCCGCCAAGCGTCTCCTGGACGCGGGTGCCGACGCCAACGCCCAGGACAACATGGGCCGCTGCCCGCTCCACGCCGCAGTGGCAGCTGATGCCCAAGGTGTCTTCCAGGTAAAGAACGTGATCCGTGGCGTCTTCTCTTCGTTGAGGCGCTTGGCGTCCCATCACACTCACTCAGTAACTCTTTCCGAGAACATAGCAGGTGGCCGAGCCGTGCTGGCTAGATGGGAAAGCCGGAAAGGGGAGGCAGGCAGACTGACCTCATTGTCGTTGGTAGAGCCGACAGCCGCGCTCTGAGTGCGAATCACGTGGTTTCCTGAGGAGCCAGAATGCCTGCCAGGGGAGCAGAGCGAGGGGAGTGGTGCCCGTGATGAAGCCTTGGCTAGTGGCAGCTTCTGCCGACAGGTTTACCTGGCCACGTGGGCTCCCACGGGCTCCTCTGTGGCTTTCTTTACATGAGTCACAGTGTGCTCCTGGATGCCCTTGTACGGTACCCTTCTCAGGAGATTGGAAGCATCCTGTGCATCGTGCTGGAGGGGGTGGTATTTTCCCACATCCCTCTTCTTTCTTTAGAAAGGAGCGGGGCTTCACTTTATCTGGAGCCATTGTCTCGAGCACATGTTCGTTCGTTCATTCATTCATTCATTCATTCTACAAACATCTGTTGGTTGATCCTGGTAGAGACTCGGGCACAAAAAGAACAAGACGTTTCTCCCCCTCCAGGAACTCACAGCGTGGCCTCCACTACATGGCCCAGGGCTCTTCTCTCAGCGTCATTCCATTCTTCCTCCAGGTGACGCTGTCCCCTGTGCTTTCCCTTCCAGATCCTGATCCGCAACCGGGTGACCGATCTGGACGCCAGGATGAATGACGGCACCACGCCCCTGATCCTGGCCGCGCGCCTGGCTGTGGAGGGGATGGTGGCCGAGCTGATCAACTGCCAAGCAGACGTGAACGCGGTGGACGACCACGGTAAGGACGGGGGTTGGGATTCTGACCGGCAGAGCATCCTCTAAGGACCTGTGTCGGGTCCAAACCCACTGAAGGTTCATTTGTCCCATCTTTCCTTTACCATACTGAGCTGGGGGAGCTGAGCCATTGGGAGGTGCGTGGATGAAGATGGGAAGGCATTGGTAGGGAGGGTTTGTTCAGAGCCTCAAAGCGGGTCTGTGAAAGGTGTGCCTGTGTGAGCTGCCTGGCCTGCCACTCTCATGAGGACAGGAGCCGGATTCCCTGGGATGGGACACCATTAGAGGGCCTAAGTATGCATTCTGGCGTGTAACGCATAAATACGGTCATCAGGCAGCAGGGTCGATTCTGCCCTGTGGAGGGCGGGGCACCACAGACAAATGGGCCCAATCCCGGGCGGTCCTCTGTAGGCGGAGCAGCCCGCACGCAGTATCCTAGAATAAAGAAAGGGGGGAATGCTTGGAGTTGGTCCTAGGACCCCACGGGGAACTGACTTCCTGATGCGAGGGGTGGGACGGGTCCTCTGTGCAGTCTGCTGACACGAGCGTATCTCTTACAGGAAAATCCGCTCTCCACTGGGCAGCGGCTGTCAACAACGTGGAGGCGACGCTTTTGCTGCTGAAAAACGGGGCCAACCGAGACATGCAGGACAACAAGGTGCAGTCTGGGCTCCAAGCGGGAGGCAGGCCCAGCATCTGAGGCCTCCCTGTCTCCCGCGGCTCCGCCTGTGATCAGTGCAGACAGGGGCGGGAGCAGGCTGGGCGGGAACTTGAGGAAGGGCACCAGGCTCCCCCCGGGAAGGGCCAGGGCTGAGCCTCTGCCCGCGCGGTGCTCAGCCGGCTGCAGGCCGTTCTGCACATAACTCGGTGCAGCCTCACTGCCCCTCTCGTCCCTGACGGCCCTTCTGCTGGGCCCTGCTCTGCTCTTGCTCACTTCCTCTCTCTTGTTTGCTTTCCTGCTGCTCTTCTCTGGACTTCAGGTGTTTGCCTGTTTGCTTTTCTTCCTCTGAGTGTTAGGTCAGGCTTCCCCCTCTGGCTCACCTTCCCCCTTCCTCCTCCTTAGTTCTTCTTTGTGCCTGTCCTTTCTCCGCTCTCTTTTCCTTGGCCCTGTTTCCCCAGCTCCGCCCATGCTCCAGGTTCTCCCCTGCTGCCTTGCTGATTTCTAACTCGTTCGCCTACTTTGATGAATGAGCTCGGTGCTCTTTTACGACTCTCTGCCTCAGCGGCGTGCTTGAGTCCGCACATTCTCACCTGCGGAGACACTGCAGAATTGGTTCCTGGGCTGGGGGGAAATAATCATCCTCTTTCGCCTGAAGCATAGCTATCTCTTTAGCACATACAGAGACAGTTTATCAGTGACATTAAAATTTCGCCCAGGGAGGCAGTTTGGGGGAGATGTCTAAGGCGGGTGGGGTTATAGTAAAAGGATGGAGAAACATTGCTCTCTACAGTCACTCAACTGTGCTCTCTGTTGGGCCTTCCCTGCAGGAGGAGACGCCTCTGTTCCTCGCTGCCCGGGAGGGGAGCTACGAGGCCGCCAAGATCCTCTTAGACCATTTCGCCAACCGGGACATCACCGACCACATGGACCGCCTGCCCCGGGACGTGGCCCGCGAGCGCATGCACCACGACATCGTGCGCCTGCTGGACGAGTACAACGTGGCGCCGAGCCCCCCGGGCTCCGTGCTGACCTCCGCCCTCTCCCCCGTCCTCTGCGGGCCCAACCGCTCCTTCCTCAGCCTCAAGCACACTCCGATGGGCAAGAAGCCCCGGCGGCCCAGCGCCAAGGGCGCCGTGCCCACCAGCCTCCCTCACCTGGCCAAGGAGGCCAAGGAGGCCAAGGGCGGCCGGAGGAAGAAGTCGCTGAGCGACAAGGCCCAGCTGTCGGAGAGCTCCGTGACTCTGTCCCCCGTGGATTCCCTCGAGTCCCCTCACACCTACGTGTCCGACGCCACCTCCTCCCCAATGATCACCTCCCCCGGCCTCTTGCAGGCCTCGCCCAACTCCATGCTGGCCACGGCCGCGGCCCCCGGCCCCGTCCACGCGCAGCACGCACTGTCCTTCTCCAACCTCCGCGAGATCCAGCCCCTGGCCCACGGGCCCGGCACTGTGCTCCCCTCGGTGAGCCAGCTGCTGTCCCACCACCACATGGTGCCCCCAGGCAGTGGCAGCGCGGGCAGCATGGGTAGGCTGCATCCGGTCCCCGTCCCGGCAGACTGGATGAACCGCATGGAGATGAATGAGAGCCAGTACAACGAGATGTTTGGGATGGTCCTGGCACCAGCTGAGGGCACCCCTCCTGGCATCGCTCCCCAGAGCAGGCCGCCGGAAGGGAAGCATATGGCCGCCCCCCGAGAGCCCTTGCCCCCCATCGTGACTTTCCAGCTGATCCCCAAAGGTGGGATTGCCCAGCCTGCCGGGGCGCCCCAGCCTCAGTCCAGCTGCCCTCCGGCGGCTGCAGGCCCCATGCCCACCATGTACCAGATCCCGGAAATGGCTCGTCTGCCCAGCATGGCGTTCCCCGCTGCCGTGATGCCCCAGCAGGACGGGCAGGTCGTTCAGACCATCCTCCCCACCTACCACCCTTTCCCGGCCTCCGTGGGCAAGTACCCCACCCCGCCTTCCCAGCACAGCTACGCCTCCTCCAACGCCGCCGAGCGCACGCCCAGCAACAGCGGCCACCTGCAGGGGGAGCATCCCTACCTGACCCCGTCCCCGGAGTCTCCCGACCAGTGGTCAAGCTCGTCGCCCCACTCTGCTTCTGACTGGTCAGACGTGACCACCAGCCCCACTCCCGGGGGTGCCGGAGGAGGCCCGCGGGGGCCGGGGACCCACATGTCTGAGCCGGCACGCAGCAACATGCAGGTTTACGCGTGAGAGAGCCCGCCTCCGGGGCAGGGACAGAACTGCCCATTGTAAATGCTGCTGGGGACAAATGAAGGTCATCCGGGAGGGAAATGAAGAAATCTCTGGAGGCACGAGAGAGGAGACGCTCTTACCTTTCAGCCACTGCCCATCGGCGGCGGCGGCAGCGGCAGCGCGTGTCTGCAGGGCTCGGGGAGGGAGCCACACGCCTCCTCATCTCCTGCCCGTCAAGCCACGTATGTGGAAATGCAAGACGCATCCGAGACTTGGGACCACGTTTACTCTCTTACTCGGAGAACGGACGGACGGATGCTCAGACATTCTTGCAGCCGGGACTGCGTTGTACCGCCCTGGGGGCTCCCGCCCCGTCCGAGAGAAGATTCCACGGGGAATGGTCCCCGGGATTCTAGCCGGACTGATCTGTCTCATCCTCTCAGTCCTGGCAATTCTTCTGACTTCGTTTGGTGCTCTGAGTTTTGCACCTGTCTGTGGTCGCAGCCACACCAGCAAGGTACCGGCCCGGCCTCTGTGCCTTGAACCATTCCTGCCCTGGGATGTAACTCACTGCCTTTTCCCTCCCGTCTTCCACTCTCCCCGGGGTCTCCCGGGGTGGCTTTGGTTACGGTTCTCAGCATGAACCTTCCTGGTTCTTTGGAAACGGACGCTCGGCATTCTCCTGCCTGACAGCATTCCTGGAAGAGGAGCAAACTATTTTTCTCTCAACCCGATTTTGGGACAGGAGATCCCTTCCGGAGGCTCCCCAAGTTCTCTGGCCTGGACGCACGGCTTCATGGAAACCTTTCGGGAGGGAGGGGGGAGAGTTCATCTTTCTGTTCGCAGGCCTGGCCTGGTCGGTGTGCAGTTTTACCCTTGGCAGGGTGGGGACTATGACCCTTTAAAAAAAAAAAAACAACACAAAGACTTGGAATGTTGGAATGACCAAGAGATGAATTCCCTGATGCAATAAGTGTTCCCACTGCCTATCCCCTCCCCCCTGGCCAGCTGTGCACTGACTCCCCTGGGAACCCCATGCCTCCCCCTCCCCCCACCCCCTACAGAACCCTCGAGGGCTCCCCTCACTCACCCAGCAGATGAAGCTGTGTATTGAGCCTTTCCTTCCATCGGTCCTCACAGAAGAAAATGTCTCAGGCGATATTCCCTCGCCTTCCAGAACGGAACTGGCCTCGGCTCCGGGCAGCCCGTGGCAGCCGCCTTCCCTCTTCTCTTTCCGATCACGGGCCCACTCCCCCCCGTCCTCCTTCCGCACGGGATGGGCAGAGCTCCTGGTGCCCCCAGTGGGTTCTCTCCGAACACAGGGATCTTCAAGGCAGGAAGCGGAGCCTCGGCCTCGCTTCCTAGGGTCAAAGTCAGACGTTTGGAAAGGGAGGAGCGATGAGGCAGCTCTCGCTACTCTTTGCCAACGTGCCTGTCCTTGGAAGCAGTCATGACATCTCCTTTTAGGTCACTATCAAGCTTATCAGGGACACTTTTCTTTCCGAGAGTCACCGTCTAGGTGACAACGGACAGTTACAGACTCGCTGTCCTCAACACCCTCATGTTCGGTGCGGAAATGCATCTCACCTAAGTCTGCTCTTTGTGTTTGTGGTCTTGGCAGCTTCCTTGACCCTGGGTCAGGGGCAGGAGTGTTCTAGGTAACACCGGAAGTAAGAAGATAAAGAATAGTCCCTCCCACCACCCCCTCTTCTCCCTGAGTCGGCAAATCATTGGTCCTGTGGCCACACTGTCGCATCTCCCTGGTGCTGTGCTGTCATGAGCAGGGGGTAGACGTTAATAGGGAGCTGCCTGCTCTGTTTTGGTGTGAATAAAAGACTTCCTTCCTGCCGTGGCTGGCAGTGTCCACCAGGGCTTCCCTGCTTTATCTGCCTGTGGCCCCGCACAGAGAACCCCAGTGTGTCTACAAACGATGCTTTTCAGTCCTGCCCAAGTTCATGAGCCAAGAAGAAGAATTCGTTCTGCTCTCCCATAAGCAGGCTGTTGATTCGTTCTGCATTTCATTCTCTCAGGTGGCCGCTCTTACCAGCCCCTTTCATCATGTGTGACATTCTGTCACTCTAGCTGCTGACTCTGCCCGGGGCCCCATTTGTTAGTTCACAGGTGGGGAACCACCTGTCTGACTTGCCATGAACCCCCCACACCTGCCCCTCTTACTGAGAGAGTCACCCCTGATCCAGCAGCTTGAATCTTTTATAACCTCCCTCGCCGAGCGCCGTAGGCCTCACTCGCTTGTTTCTCCGTGGAGCCCATTGGGTTTCGGGGAAGGAACGAGAAAGCTGCCGTCACAGACCGACAGGCTTCCGTGATGAGGAAGGAACTGCCTTTCAGGCCCTGGTCGGTCTCTGAGACTCTGAGGACCCTTGGGTTGTATCATATCTAATAGAAGGGACGGTGAGTTGGAGACTCGCTTTCTCATTTGGTTCTGAATGGCCGAAGAACTTTTTAAGGGGACCGAGCTTTTTATACCGTGTATAGGTCAACCCCCCACTTTTGGTTTATTTTTATAAATTCTTACTTGGATTCTTCCGTCATTCTCTGGGGATAGATTTTTGTTTGTTTCTTCTGTTTTGTGTGAAGCATCGTTTGCTGACTTACACGACGGTGAGAGAGGTAGGGGTTTGAGGGCAAGAGAGACTTAAAGTCTTCAGTGTAAGCCATCAGCTATGATGCTCAAGTCCATTACGGCATCTGACGATTAAATTGGCTAGCTCCCAATTCTTGCACAGAAAGGAACCAAAGGTGGAGTGTGCTATCAGCAGGTGGCTGGAGGAATTTGGCCTTGACCGATCCATTGACTGCATGATGACCCTTCGATTGGACGGTTCTATTCCCTGAGGCTCCATCCCTAACTGTCTGGTACTACGCTCCTCCCCTGTGTACATTTCTCTTAAGAGTGATACTATATGTTTGTACGAGAAGGCCCATAACCAATAAGATGACTGCATATTCCTCACTAGGCATAGTAAGGAAAATGCACACTTTGTTTGTACTTTTCAACGTTTCATCCTAAAAGTAGTTAAAATTTATACGAACGCATTTTTATCACAAAATAAAACCAGTTACATGTCAGACTCCGTGGTGTAGTGGTTTTCATTCCCCATCCCTGCTTCCTGGTCCCTTCCCTCCTTCCTCTTCAAGAGAGATCCTTTGGTTCATCAGTCTATAATGTTCTTTATTATCCACAAATGAGTGAGGTCATGTGGTGTTTCTCTTTCACTGACTGGCTTTTTCACTCAGCATGATGTTCTCCAATTCCATCCATGTTGCTGCAAATGATGAAGGACTTGTATGCATGCATATAAATACAACCAATGGACACAAAACTCTGGGGAGGAAGGGTATGTATGGGAGGGGAGGGCAATGTTAAAATATGTATACAGATAATAATTAAAAATATAAAAAGAAAAAATAAATTTAAAAAAAAAATTCATCCTCAAATTCTACCATAAAAAAAGAGAGAGAGAGAGAGAGAGAGATCCTTTGCTTTCCATGCTGAGCCCCCAGGGCGGGCACTGGGCTTCCTTCTCTCTCCAGACAGAGCCCAAGTCAATGCCTTTGTGGCAGGCGCTTCTGTCACCTTAGAAACATCGCAAAGCGGAGTCACTTTCCCTTGCACCAGCTGATGACCAACAATTTCTCAGGACACAGCGCCTACCGGTGGAAATGGAGGTGTTTGCCAAAGGCAGAGCTGAGAATCAGGATGTACCAAGCGGTGCTGATGTGCTAGGACCCAGATCGTCAGCGTGCAATATTATTCCTCGGGTTTTATAGGGAACTTAATGATACAGTGATGAAATAGTATTTTGCATATACACATGGTTCCAAGTTTATTCATGTACTTGCAGAGTCAATCAAGTGAGTGCTTGAACACAGATGGTGTACATTGGTGATGACTGTGGCATTCGCCGCCCCCTATCAATTTCCATAGCGTATTTACCGAAATAACGTTTTAGCACAACTGGCAACTCATAATGGTTATCCTAAGAGGGTTAAGTTTCATGTAAACATATATAATACGTGTGGAGAGCTTCATGTTGGGTTTTGTAATGGTGCAGGAAGCAAATGCTTTTGAGAGCGAAGGAACGCCTCGCCCGAGTCTTGGCCTCTCAGAGCTGGGGTTCCTCTTCAGACTTTGGGAACTCAGATTTGCTCCATGGAAACCTGTGCCCCTTTCCTCCTCCCCTTTCCACTTGAGCCTAAACTCCCAGCCCCCAATGGGGCGGGGAGAATCCAGGGCCCTCCCAGTTCTGAGATCCGAGGAAGGAAGGCAGGCTGGAGGCCAAGACTGTCCAGTCACACAGCTGGGACGCCAGGCCCTGGTCACGCAGTCATGCAGCTAACAAGCCTCCCATCCCAAGGAGGGGCGCCGAGTTCCTCTTCCAGACGTGATGTGGATCAAGACCAGCCGTCCCCAGGGCGATGGGCAACGGGGGAAGGGACTGCGAGCCTGTGCACTGGGCCTCTAGTACTTTAATAAAATATATCTGCAATAGCTGACAAATGTCTAAACACTTAATATTATGAAAATAACATAGTTGCCTGGCCAGTGTGGCTCAGTGGTTGAGCATCAACCTATAAACCAATAGGTCACAGTTCAATTCCAAATCAGGGCACATGCCTGGATTGTGGGCTCAATCCCCAGTAAATGGAGCCACTCAATGATTCTCTCTCATTATTGGTATTTCTTATCTTTCCCTCTCCCTTCCACTCTGAAAATCAAAAAAATATATATTTTTAAAATAAGAATAAAAATAAAGAGGCCCTAGCCGATTTGGCTCAATGGATTGAGCGTGGGCCTGCAGACTGAATGGTCCTGGGTTTGTTTCTGGTCAAGGGCACATACTCAGGTTGCAGGCTCAATTCCCAGTTGGGGAGGCAGCCAATCAATGATTCTCATCATTGATGTTTCCCTCTCTCCCTTCCTCTCTGAAATCAATAAAAATATTTTTTAAATAAAACAAAAATAAAGAGGACAAGATAAACTTTTTTAAAAATATAGACTCCCATTAGTGATTAGTTGAATCAAACTAAATGGTGAAGGAAACCATATGCATTCTGCCTTCTGGGGTACAGAAGTCATCTCTTGATGTCAGGTGAGAAAAGCTGGGTTGTTGAGGGGATATGTATGGGGACGTTCAGTCACACAGTCAGACAATAGGTGGAGCCCCAGGATAGTGATTTGCTACAGCAGGGAGGCTGCAATATTACACAAAGACACTAGAGGGAGGACTTGAGTAAAAGCTGGCAAACACCTTGAGAGAGAGGGAGGGAGGGAGGGAGGAAGGAAGGAAGGGAGGTGGAGGGAGAGAGAGAATACACTTGAGAGATATGCAGAAACTCTAGCGTGGCGTGAGGCGAAAGTCCACTCTTGATGAAACCAGACAGCAGTCTGGGAGGGTTGGCTTATTCTTAGAAACCAAAAACCCCAAACACTACACCAAAGACAAATAATAATAATAATTAATAATAATACCGACAAACAGGCAACCACAACATGCCCAAAGAAATGAAGATATATAAATAGAAAAGAAAGAATTCAAAATTACTGTCACAAGAATATTCCATGAATGAAAAGACAGAACAGATAGCTTAAAAAAATTTTTTTTCAAGAAAATGTGGCATGAAAAATGAGAATACCAACAATAAAAACTATGACAAAGAAGCAAACAGATATTTGAAGACACAGCACCTACACAGAAAAACTCACTGGCAGGACTGGGCAGCAAGCTTGACCAGGCTGAACAAACAGTGATCAAATTCAGAAAGGACTTCATAGTTGATGAAATAGACGGAGAATTAGAAAACAATGAAAAGAGCCTACAGGACTTACAAGATCTCATCAACTGAAACAACATATGCATTATGGGAGGATCAGAAAAGAGACTAATTGAAGAAACCATAGCCAAAAATCTCTCAAATCTGAAGAGAGGAATGGATGTACAAGAAACTTTAAAAATCTAATTAAGATTAAAGAGACATACATAGAAAAATCTTTATTTCTTTAAAAAGTATAGATGTAACCCCCACGCCCCCTCCCCTCCAACCACACACAACCCTGCCCCACCAAGGCCCTCCACCCAGCCCTGCCCCACCAAGGCCCTCTTAATCTAACTGACAAGTCACAGCAGGTTGCCTTGCCTGAAGCCAGGGCCGCCTGGATGGGGTGGGGTGGGGTGAGGTGGGGTGGGGTGGGGGTGAGAGTGAGATGGGGGTGGGTGGGGTGGGGGTGTAGCTTCTACACCGACATTTTCAGGCTCTGCTTCTGCTCCTGCACTCTCCCAGCTCCTGCCCCTTGTCTCAGCCGAGTCCAGGGGGAAACTGGGAGCAGTGTGGCGGCGGTGGGAGCACAGAGGCCCATAAACAGCCCATGCCAGCTGGTGGAGGACATCATAGACACAGACCAAATGGCACAGGAGACAGTCCCCTGAACAGGTTCCCCTTCTTTCCCACCATTTCCCTGGTCCTGCTCCTTTCCCAGGCTGCTCTGACTGTCAGCGTCCCTCGGGCCATTAGTTCCTATTTCTTTGCTTCTCGCGCACCTTGGTCGCTCGCGTTCCTTCCACGCGCTCCGCGCCCAACGGCACCGGAACCGGCACCGGCACCGGCACCGGCACCGGCACCGCCCAGAAGACCAACTGCATGCCTTGGCCAGGCCCTGCGCCCTCGCCATCCTGCACCCAGGCTGGCCTGCAGCAGCCCCTGCTCACCCCGCGCCCGCGCTTGGCGCGCCTCTAGCGGCCGAGCCGGGAACTGCAGGGGCCGACTCACTGCAGGGGGAACAGCTGTGCCATGAGGTCAGGGAGGACCTTCCTGTCCCCAGGCCAGTGGCTCCCGGTGCTGGGCCTGGCGTTGCTCCTGGTGGACTCCCTCGGCGGCGAGGACTTGTATTTTCACCCGGAGTGGGGGTTTGAGTCCTATGAAATCACCGTCCCCAGAAAGCTCAGCTTCCGGGGAGGGGAGCAGGGGGCCTCCAGACGCATGTCCTACCTCCTGCAGGTGCAAGGCCAGAAGCACGTCCTCCACCTGTGGCCCAAGAGGCTCCTGCTGCCCCGGCACCTGCAGGTCTTCTCCTACACAGAGCAGGGGGAGCTGGTGGAGGACTACCCTTACATCCCCAGGGACTGCAGCTATGTGGGCGTGGTGGAGGGAGCCGAGGATTCTGAAGCCACTCTCAGCACCTGCGCGGGCGGGCTCCGAGGCATATTGAAAATCGACGCCAAGTATTACCAAATGGAGCCCCTCAGGGGCTCTTCCGGGTTTGAACATGCCCTGTACCTCCTGAAGGACGAGTGGGAATTTCAGGATCGGATCTCTGGCTCCACAGGGGACGCGACGGAAGAACCGGCGGCCCAGCCTGACATCATGGCTCGGCGTAGTGACTTTGCCGACAGCGTTAAGCACCAAAGGTACTTGGAGTTGGCCATGATCTTTGACCACGAGAGGTATCTGTATATGAACTCCAATGTCAGTCGCATCATAGACGATGCCATCCTTATGTCTGGGGTGGTAGACACTTACTTCCAAGAGCTCAGCCTGAGGATACACCTCAAACGTGTGGAGGTGTGGACATCCAGAAGCAAAGTGAGGCATTCGAATGACAGAGCGGCTTCGGCTCTGACCCGGTTCACGGCAGACAGAAGGCGTGCCCTCAACGCTGCCACCCCAGCCGACTGGGAACACACCTACGTCCAAGGAAACCTGTCCGATCGCAACTCGTGGCACTGGGGGAACGTGTGTGGGAAGGGGTTCGAGGGATCCGGGTGTGTCATCGTCGACCATAACCTCCTCTTTCCTGCCACTCTGACCGCCCGTGAGATAGGCCACGGCGTGGGCATGGCGCTGGACACGCAGTACTGCCAGTGCCGGGGGAAGCACAGCTGCATCATGGGCACCGGCCGCTCCGGGTTTAGTAACTGCAGCTACAACGACTACATCAACTACGTGCGCCAGAAGGCCACGTGCCTCACGGACATCCCGGGCCTGGGGTACGTGGTGAAGAGGTGCGGGAACACAATCGTGGAGGACGGCGAGGAGTGTGACTGCGGCTCGGCAGAGGACTGCGAGGGAGACCCTTGTTGCAAACCAAACTGCAAGTTCAAGAGGGGTGCCCGGTGCAGCGCCGGGCTCTGCTGCCACCGGTGCCGCTTCCGCCCCTCCGGGTTCGCGTGTCGGGAGGAAGAGAACGAGTGCGACCTCCCAGAATACTGCAACGGGACCTCGAGCCGCTGCCCGGACGACGCCTACAAGCACGACGGCACCCCGTGCCAGCGCGACGCCCGCTGTTTCCGGAAGGGCTGCTGGTCCACGTTCCGGCAATGCCAGCGCATCTTTGGAGCCGACGCTAGGGAGGCCCCGCACCCGTGCTTCGAGGCGGTGAACCTGGTCGGGGACCAATACGGGAACTGCGGGGTGGTCTCCGTCGGCAACTACCGACGGTGCAGCAGGCAGGACGCGCTGTGCGGCAGGGTGCAGTGCGTCCACGTCCCCGCCCTCCCCGCCATGCCCGACCACACGAGCGTCGTCTCCACGCCCCTGCGGGACCAGCGTCTGCTGTGCTGGGGCCTGGGCTACCACCTGGCCATGGGCTCCACGGGGATCCCCGACCTGGGCGTCGTCCACGACGGCACCCCCTGCGGCCAGGGCCGCGTGTGCTGGAACAGGACGTGCGTGGAGGCGTCCGCCCTGAGGCTGGGCTGCGTGCCCGAGGACTGCAACCGCAGGGGCGCCTGCAACAACCGCGGGCACTGCCACTGCGCAGACGGCTGGGCGCCGCCGCTCTGCCTGGAGCAGGGCGACGGGGGCAGCGAGGACAGCGGGCCGCGCAGGAAGCCGCAGGAGGAGGAGGAGGAGGAGGTGTCCCCCGTCCTTCAGGTCGTGATATTCGTGGTGTTACGCGTGTGTCTGTTCTTCATCTCGGTGGCCTTTGTGATTCACAGGTCACGGAATGGACATTTGTTGACTGTCAAACAAACACCATCACCACCACCACCACCGCCACCATCGCCGCCGCTGCCACCATCACCGACTGAGACTGAGATCCAGGAGCCAACGCAAACGGAAGAAACTCCAGAAATACCCAAACCAACCAAAAAAGTAACCTGGAGCCCCATGGACGCCTTGGGACGCAGGGTCACTGAGTAAAGAAGCGTATTGTTTATTCGAAGGTTCCTTACTCTTCCTTCAATTCCTTTTTTTTTTTTTTTTTTTTTTTTTTTTTACTGACTTTTCCTTCTATTGTTTTGATCCGCAAATAAATGATATTCTTGTTTGGGAAACAAGCCGGTGCTTGTTTGCTTTCCTAGTGTCCGCATTTGTGGGCGAGGATGGCATGTCCCAAGAGGAAGGCCCTGGTGGCTTTGCTGAGCCGAAGCTCCGGGCAGTGTGAGTCTCAGACGGCGGCAATGCTCGTCAGAGCAGCATCCTGCCTCTCAGAGTCCCAGCAAGCGGAGGGGTCCTTGGCCTTTGCCTCTGGGGTGCCCGGGTGTGACCGGTGAGGTGGCCTGAGCCTGAGCCCCATAATGGGCCACCATTGGTGACCTCCAAATGGGAAGCCAGGCCCTAGCAGGATGTCCCTCGGATAAGCTTATCACCCCGAGAGTTCCTGTCTGTGCCACTCAGCTCTACGGATGAGTGGTCTCCTCTGACTCAGATGTCTGGGTGACCTCAGTGGGTTAGGGCACTAATCTACCACACCTCTGGCTTGCACCTCAGTCTATCATGGATTGACACACCCTGGTGTGGTCCAGAGAGAAAGAGTCTCACAACATTCTGCTCACAGGGACACATGTTGAGTGCGTTTGTGCTGAGGGACACCTGGCTCTAGGTTTGCCATATCCCTAACTGGAGCAGAGGAGGGTGAGGAGCCCCTCCCACCCTCATGCCTGGCTGCAAAAATTCTCTCCCCTTTGTCCGGTGCTCAGTGGGGGAGCAGAGGAAGACTGGGTGGCCACAGGGAGGAGTCAGTGTCCATTTGTTCTCCCCAAGGAGAGTCTCATCCTTCCCAGGCAGGCCTTGTCAAAACAAAGGTCATAACAAGAAACAAAGAAGATCCCTACATAAATATAAAGGGATATAACAAGAGGATATAACCCTTATAAGCATACTAGAGTCCCGGGGCATGAAATTTGTGCAAAGGACGGGGGTGTTTCTCAGCCTGGCTTGCAACTTCTCTAACCTAGGAACCCTCGGGGAATGTGCAACTGTTGGTTTAGGAGACAAATCAGCAGTTGGACATCCCTCTCACAATATAGGACCACTGGCTCCTAACCACTCTCCTGTCTGCTGGCCTGATCCCCCTAACTGCTCTCCCCTGCTGGGCTGATCACCCCTCTCTGCCTCTACCTTGACTGCGCTACCATGGCTTTTTTGAAAGGACGTCCCGTCTAATTAGCATATTATACTTTTATTAGTAGAGATAGAGGCCTGGCACATGGGTGGAGTAGGCTGGTCTGACCTGAAGGGGGTTCCAGATCAGGGTAGGAGTCCTCTTGGAGGGGAAGAGATAGCCTGGGCGAGGGGCTTGGGGCAGTTTGGAGGCTGGCCACACCCCTATTGGGGTTGGGGGGGAGGGTCCCTACTGGGGCACTGGGCCGGCCTGGGTGAGGGGCTGAGGGCCGTTTGGTGGCACAGTGCAGGCCCACCAAGCCCTTGGCTTTGTACGGAAGGACATCGAGAACATCTCCAGAAAGTCTCCCAGTCTAATTAGCATATTTCTCTTTTATTAATATAGACATGCATCTAATATAGGAGCACCTAAGTATATATTTTTTTAAACTCTTGGTGAGCTTTAAGGGTGAGACAACAACAATACAAAGTAGGGGGCATTAACACCCCACTGTTGTCAATGGATAGATCATTCAGAAAAAAAAAAAAAAATCAAAGGAAACAGAGAGACCTCAAATGATACACTAGATCTGATGGGTAGAATTGATATTTACAGAATATTTCATCCCAAAGCAGCAGAATATATATTCTTCTCAAGTGCACATGGAACGATATCAAAGATAGAGCACATGTTAAGACACAAGCCGAAACCAGTTTGGCTCAGTAGATAGAGCGTCAGTCTGTGGACTGAAAGGTCCCAGGTTTGATTCCAGTCAAGGGCATGTACCTTGGTTGCGGGCACATCCCCAGTAGGGGGTGTGCCAGAGGCAGCTGATCAATGATTCTCTCTCATCGATGTTTCTAACTCTCTATCCCTCTCTCTTCCTCTCTGTAAAAAGTCAATAAAATATATATATTTTTTAAAAGACACAAGACAGCCCCGCCCCCAGCTCTCACTGCGGGAGCCGGGAACCCATCGCCCCGGCAGGGCATGGAAGAAACCAGTTTCCTGCTCTGCTCCCCTGTGTTGGTGGAGGACTTTTATCCCGTTCACTGCTCGCAGAGCCTCCACGGAGGTTACTTGTCAACAACACTAATACGTTACTGGCCCCTTCAATCTGGTCTATTGGTGTGAGTTGGGCTTTTTCTTGCCCATGTGACCTGGTTTCCCAGGGCCATTCTTTCCTACCTGGTTCAACTCCTGGCTGCAGGGATGAAGGAAGTGACCAGAACTTGGAAAACAGTAGTTGGCGTCAAACATGCTAACAGCCATTTCAAACATGGCTGGAGAGTCATGATTGCTATTGGATGGGCCCGAGGCGCAGGTGGCAGCATTGTCACAAAGGCTGAGCTTTGGTACACGGAGGCTGGAGGCCACAGGCTGATGAAGGGATGAAGATGTCCTACCCTGCCAAGGCAATTATCTTCACATCCCGGCCCCCGGAGCATGGCCTGTGCCCCTCTACACGATGTTTCTCATGGTCCCAAAGAGAGTCGTGCTGACTGCCGAGAACCTTACTGTGCCTTCTGAGGCTACAGCCAGTCGGATATGGTTTGGCTGGAGGCAGCAGTTCTTGCCACGTGAAAAGGAAAGCCGAATAAGCACGTCGACCACAAAGTCCTACAGCTGTTACTTCAGATAGAGTTAAAAAGGAAGGGTGCTAAGAAGACTGAGTAAATTTACTCAATGGGTTTTAGGAGGCAAAAACAGTCTTATCTACCTGGCAGACTGTGATAAGTGTGTCTCTTGGAAATGATGTGAAATTCGTAAGAGTACACGTAAGGGATGGAGGTGACAGAGAGAGAAAGAACTTCTTTCTATTTCAGGCAGACAACCCCTTTCTGGATGGTAATTCTCCAGTTGCTATGAGTGTGTCATGTGACATTGTTCTTCTAAGTTATATAAAAATATGGCGGTTGTTTTACAGTTTTATATTGATAAAGGCAAGCTAGATTTTTTTTTTTCAGTGTTAGAGAAAGTGAGCCTATAATCATTGCAAGGTTATCAAAGTTAAATCCTTTTTGTTTTCTTTAGATATTTTTTAATTCATTTAAGCTTTAGTTGAGCAAAATTAAACTTCTATTTCATGCTACCATTATAGTTTCTAGATATGCAAAACAATTCCTGTCTAATTTTGAACAATGGGAAGAGTAAACTTTACCTAAATCACTTTATGTTGCAAAGAAAGTAAATTCCTCATTTATATCTCAGATGTAAATATTGTATGTTTTGCCCACATTAAATGGAAATATCTGAAATTTTATTAGTTTTTTTCTAGTAGTATCTTTCAGTGAGAACAGAGTATTAGCATGAGCCTCTAAGTCTATTTCATGCCCTTGTTTATACTGTTTCTTCTCAGAAGAAAAATCAGGGGTGATATATATATATGGCTGATATGCAAAGTGTCCTCTAGGGAATTCAACTGGAGTTCAATCACTTGCTATGACATGTGCTCACCACCAGGGGGCTGCACGGGATGAAGGAAGGTCCCAATGAGCCCTGATCCTCAGCCAGACCTAGGGACCCTACCTGTGCACTAATTTCATGCACCAGGCCTCTAATTTTTAATAAATTTATAATCCTATGTTTTGCTTTGTAAATTTCATTTGAGAAGCTATTATTTTTTTTCTCTCTTTTTAAAACATTTGTTTTTAACTATAGGAGAAATTATTCTCAGCATTTCACATATTCTTTCTGGTTTGAAATCACTGATGGTAGGATCATCTTCATGATTCAACAAAAAGTATTATTTTAATTTTAAAATTTTCCCCTTTTGTCTTTTTTCTAATGGGAACTTTTTCGTTTTCTAGTTGAAAAGTCTCTGACTAGGTTGTATGTGTTTAAGTTGTATTTTAATATGTAGCTACATATGTTATTAATTTTATTTTAAATAAAAATAATAACTCTTATGTAAAAATGTTCAACTCTTAAGAGAATGGTCCTGTGCCTTTGGCAGTAACCAGCTAATCAAGAAACAGAAATTAAACTTCCATATGGTGATCCTCTTGAGTGAAAACTCATGACATTATATCAGATTTCTTTTAGATTTTCTTGCTTCATTTTATAGTTTAAAAGTCCCACTATAATTTTAAAATTCGATGACAGACACTTCTTCTACTCAGATTATGAACCTGCCTACCTGCAAAGAATTTGTATGTAGCCAGCATTTTTGGATGGCAAAGTACTCAAATCACATTCAAATTAAAAGTTTAAAACATGTTTAACACATACAAACACCAGCAGAGATTACCTTTACTCACTAAAAAAAAAAAAATTGGGGGTTGGGGGGGAGGAGAATAGGGTAGGAATTATGATAGTTTTTGTATACTAAGAAGTTTATGTTTAATATTTAAAAATGTGAGTTCTTTCTTGCATTTCATATTCTTGTACTTTTCAAAATTAACATGTTACTAATCATTGACTTAGTTTTGAAGTTTGGGTTTGATGGTAGTTGAAATGTCAGGAATCTTGTTTTACACTGTGTTAAAGACAAAGCTATTAAAATAAGTTATTTAGCACTTCCCCCCCCCAAAAAAAAATGACACAAGCCAAGTCTCTACAATTTCAATTTCAAAGAGATTGAAATCATATCGAACACCTTCTCAGATCACAATGGCATGAAACTAGAAATCAACCCCTATAAAACTATTCAAAAATATTAAAACACCTGGAGGCCAAATAACATGTTATTAAACAATGAATGAGTTACCAATGAGATGAAGGAAGAAATAAAAACAATTACCTGGAAACAAAAAAAATCAAACACACAACAACACAAAATCTATGGGGCACAGCAAAAGCAGTCCTAAGAGGAAAG